TCAAGTAATATTTTCTGATACCGTCTCTGTTGTTGTTTGTGAAATATTTCTGAATTTCAACCTCTCTATCTTTCTTCTAGATCTTAAGATTATTTCAGGTTTTAAGTTTGTTATTTAACGCAATAAATGCTTTTTATCAATGATGCTTAAGTCCATTTTAGATTCTTTTGTTTATATATGTTTCGAAATTCATCTTTTTGTGACCATTCACTCAAATCAAAATCATTCAAATATTCTAGATCACGGTACATTCAAATCCATTGGTCCTTGCACGATTCAAATATAGTCACTGGCCATACAAGGACCGTTGGTATTTCAGCCAAAGACTAATAGTGAGGTCGTGGAGCGTTCAATTTCAGGTCAACCGGGAAAAAAAATGGTAGAAAAGCGAATTTTCCAGCATCCAGTGCAGAATTTTTTCCTCTATAACATACTCAAAATCACCCAAAATCGACTGTGGGGAAAAAGTTTTGTTGAGGTTTATATGATATACGAGGCCACAATCGATAATCAAGTACTTGTAGAACAAGAGATCCGCAGAGCACAGAAAAGCAAGAAATCCGTTTTTCGTTTAAAATTGTAGATTTACGTAGGGGAAAATTCTCTTATTCTAGGCCTGAAAAATTAATAAGAGGGCTACTAAAGGAAGAAGTCAGTTTTTTTCTGATTTCCCTAAAAACATGGGCGGGAATTTTATAACCGACAGGCAGTTTTTGAATGCTAAATACGATATTCGTTAACGCACCATAAGCAAGGGATATTTATCAATATTTTAGGGTATATAAAGTTACTCGGGGGAGGGGCTATTTTGGGTATTGGGGACATGCCAGCCAAAGATGTAATGTCCTTTTGTGATTCCGATATCAACACAGGTCATTATTTCCAAATAATCGGTACAAATGAACGGCTCATTTTCTGGAAACTCGGACTAAAACTTTGTGATATTCAAGCTAGTTTTTAAAAATGGAAAGGCAGTACACGTTATGAAAAAGGTACCTCAAATAAGTAAGACAACTTTATAAGTAAGACTCGTAAGACTTTATTCAAACAATTATTCAACAGAGAGTAAAAAACTCAAAATGGTAACGTTTTAGTTCATCAAAACTGTCGTCGAGACTTTCTTAACCTAAGAAAGGTATTTTGAAAAAGTAACGATGTTATCGCAACACCTTGTTTTAAAAGATTGCAATCAAGTTTTACTGAGTTCAGGTAGAAAAAATATTGCTTCCTTTGTGGTAATGCTGCAAATGACTATATAACAATGATGCGTCATTCCAGATAAGGCTTTCTCCCGTAAAGGCCCAAAAATGCCTGAAATTAGGTATTAAAGTATTTGAAATTAATATTGCCTTTTTGTATGTTTAAAGCGTCGTTTCGAAGGTCTTGAACACAGGCTAACAAAGTGGGTCCGTCAAAATGACAAGGAATGATGGCTAGCTGAATGACTTGGCTTTGCTGCGTATTGTATGGGATGTTGCTTAAAAAATTGAGTTTAGTAATGTTATCGACGTTTCTGCCTTAACAAAGCTTGTAAAGTGGTACTATGAAGAATGGAAATTTAAGAAGCAACAGTTTGAATAAAATATTTTCAGGAGGGGACGGGGGCTGGGTTCATAAGTTGACTTACTTTTATTTGCCGCGTAACACTGCATTCATATCTATTTTGTATAAACAGAACCCCAGGCCGAAGATTCGCGAAAAGGTGTTAGAAAAGATGAACATTTTAGCCACGCTAGAAAGCAATACCTTGAAAAAGCCCATTTTAGCCTTCAATTTCAGAGCAAGGACGTTGGGCCGTCGCTGCAAATTGGCGAGTCGTGATGACTTAGCTCCAGGGCCCTTACCCCCTAGCAGTGGCGCTAGAAAACTGTGTCACAACGATTGCTGGGCAAAGAATTCCAAATACCAGAGGTCCTTAAAAGACAGAATTGATCTATCTGTAAAATTGTTGAAAAATTAGTACTCTCATTTATAATCAAGAATTTTCAAAAATTTAGGCGGGTTAGCAACAAGACTTAATATTTTTGCTACTGTTCAACCTATACTCAGGGCCCACGCCACGAATTTCAAAGTGGTGGGGCCAAGTTCTATACGTTGAACTTGAATTTAAGGCTTCAAAACAAGACCTCTATGGAAATATTTTTGCTTACCAAAAGTAGGGGGCCATGGCCTCTCCACCCCCCCCCCCCTCTGGTGGTGCAGGCCCTGATACTCAATTTTATTTCTCAATTGTCGACTCGAACACCTGTTTAGCTTCCAAATTCAGAATTTACGCCTTGAATTGTTGCAAGCTTTTCATATTTTACAGAATCCCTCGGCAGATGATATTGTGCATATGGTCAAAAAGCTCATGTTTTTAAAAGTTCTAGAAAAAATTTTCCCCAAGTTGGATTTTAGGCGATTTTCGACATGTTATAGAGGAAAAATTCTACGTAAAATGATGTACGTTTTGCTTTTCTACCACTTTGTTCCTGGTTCATCACTTCAACGACTGCACTATAAAGTCGTAAACCAGTCGCTTCTCAAGTGCCTTTTCTATAAAATTCCTAAAGATGCAAAAGCAATTTCTCTTCTAAAAAAGCAACCAAGTATTACAATAAAATTATACCTTCGAGATTCATTCTCAGCTTACTTTAGCACCACCTCCGGATTTAAATTTCTGCTTACCTATGGTCATACTCAGAGCACAAAACTGACAGCAAAAGAATTTACAAGTTAGTTTTACAGTCAATTTGATTTTGAAATTTCAATTCCAAATTTTCTACAGATTTTGGTCTCTGCTTCCGGGCACGATGAATCGCGGAGTGGACTCGTGTAACGGCGCAGGGCCCCGAAGACGATTCGCGGGACAGTAGGGCTTTCATTTCATTATATTATTTATACATTGTAGCTGTGGATACCTGTTTCTGGCGGTTAATATATTAGGAGTCTTTTTCAAAGGTGTTAGGTCATGTGTTGAAGACAAATCATCAGAGAGGAAGCTGAGACGAAATGCTAGGACAAAAGATTAAAATTTACACCCTACTTCTTTGTGGAATAGCTATTTCTCTGATAATACTTGTCAATCATGAAGCACCTACGTTTTATACAAAGCATCATAAAAATGTGCATCCACGACTTTTTTTCGGGCTATGGAAAAAAGGCAGCGAGAAAACCATCAAAATGGAGGTACAATTAGAGAAGACAATAAAGGTTAGAGCGGGGCTCCTCAACAGCAATATATCTTTTACGTACAAAGTCTACAAGCCAATGCATTCCTTCAATAAAGCAACATTTGTTATGGAGGGTTGTTCAAGCAGAGAAAATACAGAGAAATTCATTCTAATAACGGGATTTATCGACTTGGAGAGCAAGACATATCGCAAAACGCTCGGAAACCTAGCTGTAGCGTCCGAGGAAAACAACGCAAAGATTGAAGCAAGGCTTATGGAAATTATTGACGTTTTGCAGTCGAATCTTAATCACACACTGATCGACGAGATTCACGTTCTGGTAAGAGACCGGGAGACTGCCGAATATCTGCATTCGCTTCCTTTAAAGCGAAGTGAGAAGCTCGTTCTTCGAGTAGTTAACGAGGATGTGGGACTTAAATGTCAACTGCTTTATGCTGCAAGATGTCTTCCTGGCCAGTTAGTTGCAATTACCAACCAAGATAACAAAATAGGCAAAGGATGGGATCTGCCCTGGCGTCAAGTTATCGGAGACTCTCGTACAGTATATGCTTTAACAAGACATCCAGCATTAAATTCAAATTGTACTAGGTATTCAAAACGTGCTACCTGTGACGATGGTGAAATCTATTTTGGTTCTCATGATACATTTGTTTTGAAGGCAATGAAAGAATGGTCTGAGAGCACTTTCCAAGAATTGAAAGGGATTTCACCCGATTTGCCTGGAATGGAAAACCTTTTTATTTGGTTCTTTCAAACAAAAATGAAGTACCGAGTTCTGAACCCGTGCAAACGTCTATTTGTACATCACCACCATTGCGTTCCCATTCGTGGTAACAATCGTTATAGAGTTAATTCTGGAGGAAGATCTGCTGCCATTGGTTTCTCGGACAACCTGTGGGCTTGATTAGACCGAGTAGTTTAAATGACCTGCCAACAAGAAGTGACCTAGCATTGATCCCTTTAAGCTATGATTTTTCTAACTGTTCATAGTTGAATTGGTAAATCCTACGTGAAGTATCCAGGTTGTAGCAAATGCGTTCTTTGTCACACTATTGCAAAGTAATCTACGTGTATATTATCAATAAGTATTATGGGTTATAATAGTAGAAAGTTACTGTGTTTGATATTTTGCATGAAAGGGCTAGAATTCTTAACGGATTCTTTGCATTTCATGAAAAGCTTATCTCTGGGATCAATTTTAAATTCCCTTTTTAATGTATTTATGAACAAATTGTTTGCTATCACCGAAGATACATAATGGCGGTGATAACGATGATACCGTCTTTTTAATTCTTAATTAAAAAATGGTAAATTTGATAATTTGCAACCACTAATGAAATAAAATAGAAAAACATTGGATTGAAACTTGACAAACACTTTCTCGGAGTTAATTGAAAAGAGATTGAGATTATATAATAAGCAGCGCCAGATTGAAACTTAAGCTATGTTCAGATTGCTCCGTATTCATTTTTATCCGTTTTCATATCGATCCGTTTTACCTGTTCACACTGCTCCGGATACATTTTAAAACGGTACGAAAACGATGAAGCGTTCACATTGCTCCGCTCTGGATAAAAAGGAAAACGCCACGAACTGGTTTACAGCACTTGCCACTGCTAATAATCTTTTCAAACACCTCACTGCCACTTATATTCCTCCGAGTAGTATGCTAACTTCGAGTGAATCAGCCATGTTAAGAAAAGTTGTTCAAATTGGCGCGGTCTAAGTATCTTTCTATGTTGTTGTTGTTGATAGCGTTTTCAAAAGTATCCGTTTTCGGAGTTCACACTGCGTTTTTGCGTTTTCAAAAGCCTCCGTTTTCAAAAGTGTCCGTTTCCAAAGTGCGTTTTCAAAAGTCTCCGTTTTCAAGGTGGAGCAGTGTGAACGCAAGGCACAAACCGAGACTTTTTTATCCGCTTTCGTATGAATACGGAGCAGTGTGAACGATAAATCACTCTAGGAGAGGAAGTCCAATATGTAAGAAGTTGCAATTCAAGTGTTGTCTGTTGGTTTGGCTCTTTATAATGGAGCACAAAAAATGGCATAAACACTATTCATAGAATAGTCATACTGTCATAACAAAATAGCTTGCTTTTCACAAAGCAACGAAACAAGTTGCTTAAAATTACACCGAAATAATTCGCTTTTACTAATAGGCAAGTTCTATTAGAGGAAAAATATCTGCAACCATCCAGCAGCGTAATCTTGGTTTGTTCATGACCGAAATTTTCAAGAAAATGATAGAATGAGATTCACAATTGGTAGAAATGGATAGAAATAGGCCAGTGAGCAATTGAATCTACAACTGGGTAACTGAATATCTTGGCTTGAAATTTTAATCATTATTCTAAAGTTTTATGCTCCGAAGAGTGTAAGACGAAAAGCTGAAATCTGTTTTCAATGTTGGTCCTATCAAAGCAAATTTGAAATTATGTATCAACAAAAAATTGTTTTTAAAGTTTCTAGTTAAGCTTTCTATTTGCTTGCCTTTAAAATGATGAAAATCTAGGTCTGATGTTATCAACAAGTGTTTTCTTGCTTTTAAAGCAATAGTTACAATTAGTTTTCCTGCATATTAATGCAGCTTCCTGCTGTTACCTGGACAGTTAGCATGTATTTATGTTTAGTGCCTTCAAAATAAGTTTGATAATCCACATCCAATATGAAATATTTTTCAGCTCATTTCAAAATCTGTTATCACTTTGTCAAGGTCGATTGACATGATGCTCATACCGGTATCACAAGCATACATTACATATTTTGTATCATGCTTTCTTTTCAGTCTTAGAATCATTTATGTAGATACTCATAAAAAAGGATTCCAAACACAAGCCTTGCAGAACACCAGTCTGAAGAAAGCATTCTCTAGAGCTACATCCATTATCAGATAAGATGTGAACCATCAGTGGGAAGAACCCTGTGAGCCAGAATCCTGTCGTTTTGATAATAACGTTCGTATATTTCAGGGGCGGGCAACCTAGGGCTCGCAGGCCAGAATCCGGCATGGGAAGAGAATTTTGTGGCCAACGCGATAAAATATCCTATTAAAATTTTTTTGTTGGCAAGTTAATTTTCCGATGGGTGCCAAATATTTAAAAAAACATAATCTAAAATGGCATTGAAGTTCGTCCCCAATGAGAACAGTTACCTCGGTGTTGCAGATGAAAAACTACAACTACGGCATACGATTCTGCTTCCCAGGTTCCATTTACTGGAAAACCCAGATTCCAGGTACCAAAGCCCGATCGTCGTTCCATCTAGCAGTTTTAGAATCTATCTACATTAAAACGAAAACCGCTTTTGTGTAGACAGAAGGAGTTCATTTTCACCTTAGGACTCCATTGGTAACCATCTCAATAGGCAAGCGGCAATGACTGGGCAACACCAACAATCGTGTGCTTGCGTTTCTAATTGGCCTATTTGAATCCGCAACTGGGTATATTTTATTTCCTAGCGTTGAGTTTTCGATCTATGTTCTGAGGCTTTATATTCTAAAGAGCGTCAGATGAACTTACTGGGTGCTTTCCTGGCAGTTGCGCAGAGATAACAGTTGTCCCTATTTTGTCTGGTCTCAGCTGCTAGGGTGCTGAGGGGGGGGGGGGTCCTAATTTAGATAAATTGGTGTCTAAGTATGTTGATGTGGATGGTCTGAGCTAAAAGGTCGATGTTAAAGTGTTGTATTTCCTTGCAAAGGTGATTTATCCAAACCCTGAATCACATCATTTTCAATTCTGGTTGGTTTTTTATTTTCCGTGTTTGTATTCACAGCTTTTACATTCTTTCGTTGCAAACTATCTATGTAAAGGAGACGTTTGTAATTGAATTTTAATTGAATTTAAATGAAAGTTTTTCATTATCTTATGTTATCATTCTTTTACAACTATTGCATTCGTTTTTTCTTATTACTTTTGGCCCGCTAAAAGGGAAGGATTGATAGATCTGGCCAGTCTCCAAAAAGATTCCCTATCCCTGGTAATGAAAAAATGCTTTAGAATCAATGCTGCATTTTTTAAGAGCCAATTCTAACAAGGTCTCCAAAGATGAATAATACAAATCAAGGTTAGGCCACTAATTTTTATAGAGAAACGTTTCTTCTAGAAATATTTCTGCACGACGTCTTGTTGCACGACGATGAATCGTGTTGTTCTAAATTTATTATAGCTGTTGATGCATTACCAGTTGTAGATTTAGTTTAGTATCCAAACTAGGCCAGTTACTCCCGCTACGCGGGCACGCTGCAGTCCTTCTGTCCAAGAAAGTAAAATTTCCCTCAGCAAAGAAAACAAGTCAGTTAAAACCCCTGATGAATAATAGGAAAATTAGCCATGGTAAAGACAAGAATTCTGTCTAAGCCCCAAATGAATTATAGGAAAATCTGCTTCTGGAAAAAATGCAAAAATGTCTAGCCTCTATGTCAGTTTGAATGGACACGCCCCGTAGGGGTCACGTGATAAAAAGCAACTCGCTCTGCTAAAAAGTTTGGTGAAAAATTTCAATCGCACTCCTGTGACTATCGCTAAGAAGGGGGTCGTCTAGAATAGAAAGGGGGTAGAGGCTCCCCCCTTCCTAGCGATAGTCACAGGAGTGTGATTGAAATTTGTTACCAAAATTTTTAGCAGAGCAAGCTGCTTTTTATCACGTGACATGTGTGAAAAATTCTTTAAGTGGCTGGCCAAAGCATGATGTCAAACTTCAGGTCTGAAAATTGCAATCAGGTCATGAAGATTTCTAATTGGCGACCTAAGCGTATTTAGTTTCTACCATGTAATACATATTGTCTTGCTTAATCTTGTTTATAAATGTAAAAGCTTTCTTTAGGGAGGTCACTTGAGTTGTTATCACATTAGGTTTGTAGACATTTCTGTAAATGCAAGGAGATTTCATCCAGCTTCACCTCCTAATATAACCAAAATCTAACCAGAAACTGGAACTGGATTTAAGATTTATGCCCAAGTTGAAAGGCGAAGTAACCAATAGACATGGCAATGGTAGAACCGTGGCATTCTTATTGCTAAAGTGAGATTACTTCTTTGAAGGCAGCACGTAAAAGGTGAAATCATCGTATACCAAAGTACTTTTCATCCGACAGCCCTAAGTATTATTGGCAGGTAATGACTAAAGATAAGAAAAAATTTACATTCAGATGCGGATTGAAAGGAATACGAGAGGAAAGTGGTGCCCTCGATTGATTCATTGTTTTGACCAATCGTCTTCTCCTACCATTTTGCCTAGTTGAAGAGTCCAAAAGAAAAAACGATCATTTTCTGTCTACCCAATACGTGACGCTTTGTTTTGATCTAGACAGCTCCTGAAAGACGTAAATATAAAGACAGCCTTGCCTGTCTACAGGAAGAGTTCGTTTCTGTTCTTCTTTATTTAGAACTTACTCTCGAGTGTTTCAGAACAAGAGCTATTTTATTAATGAAACCAACTTTCAAGTCATCCTTTGAAGCAATAGTTAAAATGCATGCATGGTCTGAGCTGTAAGGCACGACTCTAAAAAAAGGACAGTTCACCTCTATTTAGGCATGTTCCGATGCGCTATGGTAATTACTGATCGAAGTGCAGCCTGCTTGAAATCAAAAGAACGCCATTTTATTGGATGATGATCAAATCTATTTTAAGAAAAACAGGAAAAGCTTGGAGATCCAAACACTTAACTAAGGTCAATTACTTTGAAGAGTTGAATAACTTCATTGCCTTTTTCTCTGTGTCTTCATATAAAACACATGAAAACGGGGCCAACATGTCATAAAACATATATTTATTCATGTCCCTAGTCGAAAATTAAACTAAACCCTGAGATTGGTAAAAAGGGGTTATTTGATTTATTAGATATAATTTAATGTTTAGGTGTGTACGTGTTTTCGTATTGAATGTATAATTGAGTATTTACGTAATCGAACTACGACAACAATTAAGAAATGAAATGTAATGAGACGTCATCAGCAAAATGAACAGTCGTTACAATAATGGATTGAGTCTGTTTTACAGGAGGTGATTCTGCTATTACGAAGTTATGAGCATTTATAAAGATAAGCCTCCTTAATTAACTCTTGGATCAAAGTTTCCAGGAATTTCATCGGCTAGTGTATTACTTTCAGAGAAACAGTTAGCTGCTTTGCATATAAAACGCTAGGTGGAAGCAGTTGTCGAGATCTTTTGAAGACATCAGTGTACAGATCTATCGTTTTAATCCATACGCCGGGGTCGATCTTGTAGAGATTTGTGCCCGAATATTCGTTAACACACTTCATTATCGTTAACACACTTCATTATCGTTAACACACTTCATTATCGTTAACTACTTCATTATGCGAATCAGAAAAACAATGGTTTATCTAAGTGCGTGTCTTTTTATTATGTCGACATGTGCAGTTGAAACATCTTAGACAGTTGTCTTGTGCGCACATTGTTGTAAAATTTGGCGACATCTTCTTCCATGGGATACAATACGTGTCTTGCCAAATCAAGGCCGAAGACCGAAAGTTGAACCTATCGCTATTTATATATCCAAGAGGGCGATAAATTTTCCATTTCTAAGCCCTGAACAATATGTAATAATTACATTTTTCAAAACTGGGAAACAAAGAACGAATCACCTCATTATGAATTTTGCAAAGGACAGTTAAATTCTGAAAGCCAAATATAATTTTCAATTAGTGCAGCAGGTAAAAGCAGGTCTTCGTATAGATCTTGCTAATTATAATTCTGTCAAAAAATCAAATATCATTTACGAAATCGATTGTCGCGATCACTTATCTCAAAAAAAGACTTTAGAGTCCTGGCAAAACGACTAAGCATTTAATTAAACATTTCACTCAACTTTTGTTTAGTCAAATGTTTAATGAAAAGTTTAGTCGTTTTGCCACCCTGTTTAGTACTGTTTAATCGTGTTAAGTGTTGTTGAGCAAAGTTTGATCCTGGTCAAAAATGTTTAGCGTTGTTTAGTGTTGTTTAGCAAATGTTTAGCCGTTTTGCCACCAATTATACATTTGTTGTGAACGCACAGGCGCACTAGCTGTGGAAATCCAAAGGTTTTCGTCTGTTTTCGTTGGTTTTCCTGTCTCTACGTGACCCAAAAAGCCTTTATGAAACATCTGTTTATCTAGTTGTAGGTCAATGTCTCTTCTTCAGCAGTCAACTTTGTTGTCAATGATCTAAAAAGTCTTTTCTTTCCGCGTCGCTTCATACAATTCTTATTTTTATCCTTTGCTTGTGCATGGGACAAAATAAACCTAAAGCAAATTCCTATGCAAGATCCCCTACAACCCAACAGCGTCATAGACAGCTCGCAGTTCAAAAAAGTAGAGTTAAAGACTCATTGCTAACAATGAGCCATTACGCTACGCAAGCATCGCATAATGCATTTTTAGACAGTCTGAAATCAATTTACTGCCATTGAAGACAGTTTACTGCCATTGTTTGGATCGTCGCCACGCTCGCATAGGCCCATTGTTAGCAATGAGTCTTTAAGTTTAGTGAAAAGTTTAGTCACGTTTTGCCATCCTCGCTAAACTTCGCTCAACTTCACTGAACAAAAGTTGAGTAAAATATTTAGTCGTTTTGCCAGGGCTTAACAAAAATTTGACCTTAGGCAATTAGATAAAGGTGTTCCACAGGGATCAGTACTGGGCTCCATACTGTAAATATTTAACGTAAATGATTTGCCAAATGCCACTACTATTAACCCAATTATGTGTATTTTTCAGCTGAACAACGAAATAATTCATTTTAAACTTAAAATGAAAGATGGACTTGATAATATGATTGATTGGTCTAGAGCTAACAAACTCTGCCCGAATACAACTGAAACTGTCTTTCAAACTGAAGATGGGAGACGAAGGTGAAAAAGCCGACAGCATGAATTATCTTGGCGTGATAACATTATATCATATTAAGCAAATATTAACAACTTTATTTTTTCCCTGTATTTGTTGCTACCTAGCATCCGAAGGTAGTTTTTAGGACACTGAGAAGCTTATGCTTATCGAGCAGTGTCTTGGTCCTTCCTCTCGATGTGATCACACCTCGTGATTCCTACACCTGGAATTACAGAGGGTTGGCGACTCTCCTCACTCTAGGTGAAAGTTTGGTCATGCCAGGGACTCGAATCACGGACCCTTTGGTTTGTAGTCAGCGCCTCTAACAACTGAGCCATCCACTCACCCATCTTGCACCTCGCACCTACAACTTTATTCTAATATTGATGCTTCCATTGCTAGTGATTTGTACTTTTCTACATATTAAGACTCTTTAATGCTATTGATTTTGCTGTTTTTGTTGTTAATGTGCCTGGGCTATATAAGCTCTGTTTTTCCTGTGTGGTGTAGATCATTATTTTAATTAACGTTGTTAGTGCTCTAGGAATAAATTTTATCAAAAGAGTAGTATCCGCAAAGAAAGGGTTTGAGCATATTAGCCTTATTTAACGATAGAATGTGGAAAATTTCAGAATTTTTTGAAAATACATTCATTTCAAGGCATTGAATTGTCTACATTTACATCTACCGTGCGATCAATGTATGCGGTTTAGGAATAAAAAGGACTGGATATTAATATCACTTTACAAAAGTAGCACTGGGGCGTGCTTAAAATTCCCATACTCTAATGTCACTCACTACATCAAATTTTCTATACATTCCAGACCTCGTGTTAATATCTTTCCTGTTAAAGAGTAAAACACAGGAAACTGTGCTCTAGTACTCCCGTCTATAAATAGAACTTGGGGAATAATTGAGAAATTTAAAAATCTAATCTTGTTCTGTGCATCAAATTGTCTATATTTACCAGGTTTTGTGTTGTCATCTGTTTCTAGATGGTAGATAAAGGTGCACCACGTATCCTAATAGAACACGACGAATTACCTCGGTATATACAAAATCAGTTCAATATGTTACAGAGTGGACAAGATATGGCCAATGATTTCTGCTGTTTTGACATGATTCATCAAGTTTAGATCAGGGACAAAATTACGGTGATTTAACGGGACAGGGCTTGTGCTCACGCTGCCATATCACAGCCAGTTTTTAACACGATGAACTTATTTTGCAAATTTATCAATCATGCGGAGGAGAATCCATTGTAATTTTCTTTCCGCTTTTTTTATTTTAAGTTGCTGTCTTCAAAATAGCTACAAAAAGCTAATTAAAACCAACCAACAAAACTTAAACAACATAACGCTGTTTGAATTTGTCAAATCAGTTTACGGGCCAAAGTCTGCATAAACATTGAAGCTCTTCTTGTGTAATTGACCCCCCTTACTGACTGACAACGCAATTTCCTGTTTGAAAAATGCATTTCAACAATTTCCTCTAAATTTCTAAGAAAACCCTTCCAAACTCCTCTTAATTTCAAACGCCTTCTTTCCCCTTCCAATCGGCCTAAAATATCGGGAAATTGCGTCGGGATCATTTGCATTGATGTAAACAGATTCCAAAACCTTTAGTGGTAAAAATTTAATCGATAAGAGCATTAACAAACAGCTAGCTTGAATTCACGTCAACTTAGATTTACTTTGCCTCCCATTCACATCGAAGCTCCTGTACTGAGTACAGCTTAACACATTCTGATCCTAAACCTTATAGCTTGCAAAATCAATAATGCGTGGAAGACAGACAACATAAGAAATCTTACTTCTGATTTCTTTAAACAAAGATAATAGACATTAGTTCATTTTAGAACAAATGTCTTTAATTCAAGCCAGATTCAGTAATGTTTTATAAGAAATTTTCATACAAATGTCGATGTTTAAAACAGTAGCTGCAAGGATGATTTCACTAGACGGTCCTTTGAAAGCAAGGCACCGTTAGAGGTGGAGTGTATTAGACTGAATGATCGAGTAACAGAATACCGTGAAAACCTGATCAGTTGAGGTTAAACTTTAAAGGGAAGGAATAATAAAAGAATCTATCTGTCGCCCATTCTGAAAGCAATGTTAGCACAAGCCAAAAACCGTAAGGCACTTAAAACAGTTTTTACACAGAACGATCTTATGAATACCGACCAGAAACAACTAAATGCTACAAAAATACAATAAAACACAATTTTTGTGAAGACAGTTCAGTTGCTATCTATCAGTGCGAGTATTTCCGATCCAATTGTCTTGACAGCTTTCACATCTGCGTTCAAGACATTTGATGAAGATGATGAGCATATTTGCTTTAAGTACTCGCGCAAATCATCGCCGTTGTTTTTTAGCTCTCTTAGCAGGTTGACATTGGATGTAATGAAGCGTTTGACAATTCTCAAAAGAAGCTTCTTCCTTTTGTCGTCAAACAGTTGAATAGCATCCGAAAGACATTCGAGGTTATCATCAGAGAAACATTCGTCGTACTCACCTCCAAACATTTCGGCAGACAAATACAAGCATTGGCATGATATGTCTTGCACATCCCGGTCATCAAAACAAAGTAATGTTATCAGAATTCCATTCAGTTCAGATAGAACTTTACAAGCTTTTAAGAGCTCTTCTACAAAAGCCACGTCTTTTGAAATGTCGCTTTGGCTTCTTTTTTCCTCTTTTGAACGCACGATTCTTTTGACTTGTGCCTCTAAACTACGCAGCAATTGGCGCAAAGTGTCTAGCAGAGGGATAAAAAGTAAAGAAGCATGATCAGCTGTCGTGTCTTCTTCCAGCACCGAAGATATTGCTATAAACGCAGTCATTAGGTACTCCACTATTCCTTGTTTGAGCAATGGAGCGAGATCGAATTGCTTGGCAGCTACCATGCTAGCGATGACGTTGACAATTGCCACTAGTACTGTACTCCTTGTATCGTTTTGGTGGACTTCAAATAAGTCGATAATCTTAGCCAACATCCCGTCATCCACAAGCAAAGTACCAACGTCTTTACAGTTATCGATAAATGCGTGAAGCAGCCTCATGCCATAGGCGGGTATTGGGTCTTGGTCTTGCAACACTGCATCAATTCTCTCCAGGAAATATTCCGTAACCATCTGTAAACAAAGAAAAGAGATGCAGTGAAACTGATTTTCGAACTGATCCTTGAATCAAACTGCCTGCGTCTTTAAACTCTTATGTGACACTGTGCTTGAGTGCTGAAGTGTAAAAGCTAGCTAGCGCAAGTATCATTTGACAGGCTTTACAGTCTAAAATCTGTACCTTTCAAAAGTAATTGTCAGGTCTAAAATTGAATCTACACGAAAAAGATTCCCCACAAAGTATTTTTCACTGCCTAAAGCAGATTTCCTGCTTATTCCTATTTCAGAATTATATAAACTTGCTAGTCTATAAAGCATAGTCTTAGTCAGATTTTTACCAAATGTGATTAGTCTTTTGTCAAATCCTCAACTATCGAATCTGAAGTAAAGAAAACGACTCAAAATGTACTTTCTTAGTTTACAAACTCATTGTTGGGAGCACTGTCTCCCACACTCTTAGCAGGATACTTTCTGTTCATTTTTTGAATGCTCATTTTAGGAGATCTGTTTTCAGTTTACCCCTACTCCTACTCTACCCCTACTCTACATTTCCAATTTTATCCACCGTTCTCTCTATTAGATGGTAATTGGCTGAAAACGAAACCTCCACGCTTGTAGAGTTTTGTAAAATGCAGGTATATTGCATCTTACTTGTCGAACAATTTTTAATCGCACCATTACGTACAAAGATATTTTCCGTAATTTTGACAGTTCACAGCTTCATTAATTTATAAAACACTTTAAAAGAACATTTCAACTACGAAAGGGACCCTGAAATATCATCTATAATAATTTTGCTTTAAGGAGAAAGACTATGCAGAACTTACTTGGTTCAACAATTTGCCTGTTTTGTCACTGGTGGTATCCCTTGCCGATTTAATGCATTCATCATTCTCCAAATAGAGGGACGAAACATCTGAAAATAGCTTCATTGCCAGCATTCGATTGTCACCAGATGAACTTGAGCAAAACGCTCCAAGGGAAGGCAGCATTGCTTCAATGACCTTTTCTCTGTTCTCAAGCAACAGAGGAGGGTGCTGTGAGACTGCCTCGACAATTGAGAAGGTAGTACGAATGACCTCTTCTAATCTAGTCGAGCCTAAGCCTGCACTAATGTTCGTCTGACCCTCATCCACGCTCTGGATGCAACGAAGCAAAGCTCCGAGTGAATCGATAAAGTTGTCATTAACAACACGTGGTCTGAAAAGTGGGCTCGTTATGACGTGGAGAACTACAGGAAGGTTTGGTAGGGAGGAGCGAAGCTGTTTCAGATTTGACGAGGGTGGATGATGACGCCCATAGACCGCTTCAAACGCCTTGACTATTCCTGTCGTAAGCAAAAAAGGAACAATACCGAGCATGAAAAAACAATGCCTTGACGATTGCTGTCGTAAGCAAAAAACGAACAGTACCGGGCATAAAAACAATATCCATTATGAAACATTTATGACGTTGTCGCCAGAGAAGTGCCTGCCATTGAAAATGAAAGTAACCGATGGGCCAAAATTCTGATATTCATAACAGGGACCATTTTTAATGAGTAATTACCCTTTTTCGAATCTTCTACGAACACATTTAACAATATTAACATAACCTACCTTGAAGAAAGCGAGGAACTTGTTCAAGAATTACATTCACACACTTGTCTTTGCACTGTTTTAAGTAGGATAAGACCTGGGCCTCTGACTTTGCACTGTTGCCAGACGATGTTTTTCTGCTGTCCCTCTCAATGTAGGTTACTAGCTTGGCTTGGCAACTGTCAAGCAATGCATTTTGGGAATTTCCACATATTTTGGCGACGAAGAGATACACCTTGCCTCTAACTACAAAAGATGGGGTTTCCAAGATCCGTGTAAACTTGCCAATTGAGATCGAGTCTTGAGCAATTCTTTTATAAAATGTTGGTACTTGTAGTAATGTAATAAGTACTGTCAGCAATGGCTGTTGTATTCTTAATGAACAAGCAAACAGACTTTTCAGCACTTCTTCAATACCAACCCGCTCGACAACTTGCTGGAAAATTGTATTAGAGTGCATGGCCAATCGGCTCAAGGCTGAAATAGCTGTGAGTTTTTCCGCATCAGACACAGCGTGGCTGAACAAACTCCATAGATTCTGGAGAAGAATTATTGAAAAGCTGAAAAAATCTACAGTTCATACACACCCAAAAATTCAGTTCAAAGATTTGAAGGCTAATATTAAATTGGTCCCAAAACCAAACTCTAAGAAAAATAACATTATTTACAAGAAACTACTTCGAAGTATATAAACATATTTTGATTATTATCTCATTAAAATATCAAAATGATATGACATGCTGCTGTTTACGTAGGTGTGTCAGCAAAATGTAGCTTTAAATGAAACGGGACTCTGCCTCTGTCCAAACATTTTGCAAATGACCCAAACTAGGAATGCCTTAATTTGAACGAACATAACCTGACATAAAATTAAAGGCTTCACCTGTCCAACGTCCTTCGCCAAAAATTTTTTGCAGTATCTCCCAGCTGTTGTTGCAATATTCTCAATTATTTTTGCAGCAATGTGTTGCACAGTTACATCTTCAGATGACTGCAAACACCTTGCCACCATAGTGAATGAAGCACCTAGAATTCAATTGCCTCGTGAATGACAAAGCATGCACAAAATTGTGGATGAATACATTTATCGTGCTGTTATTTTAGGAGCTGGATGGAAATCCATCAACATTTCATGAGCATAAACTAACAAGCTTTGCATTTAAAAATATTGTGTGATGCCATGGACTGAAGATCTGCCAGCTTAAAGAAAAAAATTCCTCTCATTCTGGACATTATTAAAGACCTAAGTAGTCTAAATATAGTATAGTGAAACTTACATAGCCATCAAAAGGGCTGAATGATATAAATTCATAACAAAGTAAAGTAAGGCACATATTTGTACAAGCTAAAAACATGCCACGTATTAATAATAATTTGGGTCTTCGTGCCAAGCATTATAAGCATTAATTTTTTTAAAGCATGCTCATCTCAAGAAAAATTTGGCCCTTTAGAGAGTGACACTTGAAGGTAGTCTTTTCACCAACATACCAATCACAAAACAAATCTATAAAACTATACTTGTTGTCCTTTACTTATAAGCTCTCAAAGGCATCACATTTTACTACCTTACATGGGGTCTCTAGTTGAAGATCATACCTGGGGGTTCCCAAGCTGAAATGATTTTATCTTCTCCTTCTTCTTGTGTTGCGGCGTAAAACATGAACTCCCCTAAAGCTGGTAACACCACTGTTTTCAGGCTAGTCACACACAAATTGTCTCTAAGACACTCAGTCAAGGCACCAAACACTTCTGTCATTTTAAAATTTGGAGATATGTAGGTTGCAGAGCAAGCCAACAAGCCAAGGAGCTTTGCTGCAAGGAAAAACCATTAGAAGATTGATGTTTACCTGCTATATGAGCTTGATTGTGCATAGCTTGGCTGCAAAGAACAGGCAGGTTTTAGGTTGCAGCTTTGAGTTTCATGCTCAAAGCAACTGAAAGTAAACTTTAAGTACAAAGATTATGCTAGTCTATATACATGATCAGTATTTACATAAGAAGTCTTATGTAAAGGCCCATGGCAAACCAAGAAGGCGAAACTCTATAGCCAGCCTTTGAGGATACATCTTTCGTTTAACTGTGATTCATCCAAAGTTGTGTATCTTATGGAATGTAAAGTCTGTGATGTACAGTATGTGGGTAGCACTTGCACGCCGTTTAAGCTTAGGTTTAATAACTACAAGGTGTGCGATCATAAGTTTATTGGGGCTCTTCGAGTATAATTCAGGCTGATTTTCTCCGCCATTTTGCAGGGAAGGATCATCATGGATTTCTCGAAGAAATTAAAGTAACAATGATTATAGATAGACTTAATGGGAATGGTAGGATGCATGAAAGTTTCTGGCAGTATAAGTTGGAAACTTTCGCACCCCGGGGCCTCATTATTAGGTTAGTTCACACATAGTTTAATTTTTTTCCCACACATTTTGTTTATTTTCTCCTTATTACTTCTGTTTATTATTTCCAAGTTTTTATCTATTTTCAGCGCATGCATGCCAGACTGACAGAGGGAAATTATTTCCACAAGGTTGCTGCCCAATTGTAAAAATAATGCACCTGGTCGGAATTGAACTCCAGTTTCCTGCATCAAAAGCCTCAATCATTCCACTGAGCCAGAAGGCCCAATGATTGGTTACTTCTGAAGCCACCCTTGGTGATCTCACTGTAAACAGAGCAGTTGTTTCTTCTGTTTCGGCTTTCGAAGCCTTTCTCAGATTTATATATATAATTGACCTGTTTAATGATATACATGCAACATCTACTCATAAAAAGCATGATGAATTTATCAATTCTAGGACTTTATCATATTTATCACAGACTTCATTATATACATCATAACTCAAATTCAATAAATCGATCTTACCTACTCTGAGCTTCACTTCTTGTTGTGATGGACCTTTGAGATCATTGAGAAGTAGTTTAGTGGTATTTTTTTCTAACATCATATTGGCTACATGTTCATTTTTTGCTATGCTGACAAGATATCCCAATGTATGTAGTTTTGCTTTTTGACTTGTTTGAGAATCTGCTGTCTTGTTGCCACTACTAAATGACATCAAAGCACTAGTAATCTCATCAATGTGCTGCTCTACTTGGTGTTTTGTATAATTATTAATTTTGTCGACCCTGTGAGTTGAAAATGGAACAGTGTGTGCATCCCACTTTGGCGAAATCTGTTTGGTCACCTTTGGGTTATCCACTATAGGGGTGACCTCTAGGTCTGAAGGATGATACAATAAATCAATAAAGGAGACATTCAAATCAAAGTGGGTTATGTCTTTGTGTTCCTGGTTATTTTGATCTTTGCTAAGCATTAGGCTTTGATCCAAGGATTTGTCGATGTCATTCTTCCTTCTTGATTCTCTTGATTGAGAGTAATTTTCTTTACTCCTTCTGAAAGAAGTGGATGCATCCAACGATATTTTCCCTGCATTACGTAGGTCTAATGTGGCAAACCCTTTTCCTAAGTTTCCTCTGTGTTTTTGAACATGGTCAATAGAAGTTGTACTATCATTCAGCTCAGAGATATCCGAATCTTCAATTCTTCTAGCTCCTATTCTATCTGACTTTTGTTCAGACTCACAGTCTATAAAACCATCTGCATATTTAGAAACAAGACCAACATCTTTTTGCACATCAAAGCTCCCTCTAGATTCCTCTTCAAAATACCTAGTGTCATCTTCAATCATTGTTTCATTGGCTTCTTCATCTAAGAGATGAGACAGTGATCCATTCCAAAACTTGTGCATACACAAGTCTTGCATACAAAGTCTCTTGCTTGGATCTTTAGAGAGGAGGTGCTTTATCAATGACTGTAAATCATCTGATGCCTCCAAATGAGACTGATTATGCTCTTGAACTAGCTTTGGTACATCACTGGTAGTAATGATTGAAACCAACTCTTCAAATTGTGTAGCTACATATGGTGGTCTCCCAGTAAAACATTCATATAAAAGGCAACCAAGTGCCCATATATCACTTTGCTTTGTGTGAAAGCCACCTTGTAGCACCTCTGGTGCTATGTAAAATGGCAGGCTCTTCACCAAACGCTTTGAAAACATTTCCTCGTGAGATATACCAAGTCCAAAATCAGAATCTTCTGGCTCGTTGTCAAGCGCATCCTGTTCACCATCAACCTTCGATACAGTAAAATTGCTGAGTTTTAGACAACCAGAGCCATCTAGTATGATTTTAGAGGGCGACAGATCGCATAACAAAATGTTACAGGAGTGAAGGTAGAACAGAGCTTCTACGATGTTTATGCCGAATTTACGGATAGTTTCTTCTGGCAGAAGACCATCTTGATGCAGGATCTTTTCTAATGTTATTCCTGTACATAGCTCTACAACCAGCCACAAATGATTTGATGTTTCATACCATTCAAAGAACTGAACAATGTTTTCGTGGTGCAAATTATGACTGATTCGTACACTATTTTGCAAATCTTCTCGCTTTGACTTATCTACGCAATGAATTGCAAAATAATTTACAGTTCCTTTCCTTCGTCCCTTGTAAACAACCCTTTGCTCACCGCGACCAAGCTCATCATACAACACGAAATTCTCCATCCCTTAGTGACTGTCGTTACTTTACTGCCATCTTCTCATCGGCCTCGACGTCTCGTTCTGAATTTCTAGGATCGATGGAATCGAGATTGTAAAAATGGTAGAGATGTTGCCTGCGTTAGTGAGAACTTTCAGAAAAGAACTTCTCCCACATTTTGGGCAGGGCGAACGCACATTACAGAAATTCTGCACTTGTGAAATATTGCAAAAGAAGGACAAATATTCATTAAAAAACATCGGCTCAAATAAGCCCCAGGTGTCTGGCAGGTAAATTTTGAATGGTTTGTTATTGATCGATCATCTCATTTCACAACATTCATATAACACAAGCATTACTTTCCTTTTTCACGGCGGTTTGTGTTTATTTAGCTTGTTTTGAAGAGAAAATACAGTGCTTAGTTGTTTTGGAGATATTTCTGTGCTAGAAATTTTTTAAAATGTTTGCTATTCTGTTTGCTATTTAGACAAATTCTGTTGCATATTTTAATTACATTAAAATCAAAAAACTTATTTTGACTATTAGATGAGACAGTTTGAAAGCAAAGTGTTGTTGGCTGTGTTTAGTAGCTATGTCTTGTGTTTTTATTGTATTATTTTATCCTTTTTTATGTAGGCCTATTTAGATATGGTACTATTTCAATAATATTTTGTCTATATGAATATAAAATAAGATTGCAGGTAGTGAAATTGTGAAATGCAGAATTAGAACTTAAACAATAAATTATTTAAAAAATCTCAGATTTTACACCGCACAAATCTGGCTGCTCATTTGGATGATTCTGATTTTGGACATTATGCCTATGAATTTAGTGTTGATATTGAAGTTGCTGGAAATTTCATAAAATTTTGCATCATTAATAAAGTAATTTTAGGTTTAAAAGTTTCTTGACAAATAATCAAGTAGATCATCTCTGGATTTATTGTAGGAGAAAAAAAGCTCCAGACTACAAGAGTAAGTCTTGACTTGGTTTTTAATTTGAAATATTTCTGTGTTTGAAGATTAATTTTCTCTGTCCTCCAATAAGGATATTATGTAACTGTCACATCTAGGCTGGTTCATTTTTGTGTACAAAGAATGAGTAAACTGTGTGGTATATGTATGTGTGAAATTTAGAATGTTCTGTCCAGGTATTGTCTATTCTATCATTGTTTTACTTCCAATACCAGGGCCTTGTGGTCCTACCTAAATATACTGAAATATATACTATATATACTACATTCTATAAACTGAAATCCCAAGCAAGATCCTAAAACGTATCCAGGCATGATCACTTTTAATGGTTTCCACTCCTAAAAGCAATAAGTCCTGCAAAGGACCAGGCATTTGGATCTGTGGCCAAAAGCTAACCCATTTGAAAAAGAAACAGCTTTTGGCTAAAAAAGGTTCCCTTCAGCACATGAACAGCAGGGGTGAGGAATAATGGAATCAAAGAAAGCACATCCTTTTTAGAAAAATTAACATTGTGTCAGTGGTTGGCTCTCTAGACCTGATCTGTAGATCTGTGCAGTGCCCTGAGACAAACACAGAGCAGAGTTGTGACTCTAAAACCAGACAGAAAAATTCCATTTATAACTAGGATGAATCCTTTCTATTGACTCTAGATGGACCTGATAATGAAGCAGTGTTTTGAACTTCTGCACCAATGCACCTTCGTTACTAACTCTAGGGTTTTAAGCACATCGTGACTGCAAATAGTTAAATACTTAGTAACAGTTTCAATTTCAAAACAGAAACTCATATTTATGTAAAGAGCAAAAAGCTACAACAGCATCATAAGAGTACCAGTATTCTTTGTACACATCAACAGGATACTTACTTTATTGTTAAACTGACAGATGTATAAATTGCCAGATAATTTGCTAAATTCTATCAACTGCTGTCTAAGATACATAGCGTCTCAAAACCTGAACCAATTGTGATTGTATTTTAGGGTTTGGTGGGAGCAAGGAATTCCCAGTATCTGTGTTTCAGCTGCCAAGGCTGGATCAGAATGAAATAGACCTGGAGAGTGGATCCAAGCACAAGGCTATGATTGAAAATGCCCTGCACAGTGCAATTGAATGTCTAATCTTTTCTAATGAATTGAATGACGATGTTCTAACTGGATGTCCTATAGAAATAACAAAGGTTACTTTACATGTTATCTATCTCATTTTAATAAGCCTACAACAAAACTGCTAGATGATATAAGCAGAAATATTTTGCATCTTCAGTGATGTGAGGGGCTGCTCTGAAATCTATAACCAGGTATGGAAGAATAGAATAATAATGACTGCTCTAAAATGCTCTAGAAAAAACCAATAATAGGTAAGGTTTCAAAGTGAATGGAGGTGGTTGGAAGAAGCAAGTAGGTTAGAATAAGTGGATAGGGGTTTCTATTGTTTCTCAAAAGGTTGGATCTTTGTGTTACTGCTTCATCATTGTACATGTTTTGGGTCAGAAACAAGCAAGAATAAATAGGTTGGGGAAGGCTGCACTAACGATGTCATCGATAGAATTTTTTCTTTCAAAAAGCGTCCCATAATTATTATTAGCAATTTCAGAGTAGCAGTCTTTGATTATACCTAAAAAGGAACCAATACACACTGCATTCTTCCTTTCATGTCATTTTCTACTCTTACATCAATATAAATTCCCTTTCTCATTCTGTCGGTGTCACTATCCTGTTCTTCATACTATGACAAGTGCAGTTAGTCTAATGCAAGTTTTAAAAGTTTTTTTTTAAAGTGGAAGGGTCATTTACAATCTCATTGCAGATGGTATACTATACCTAAGTTCCTCTGTGTTGCAAAGAATATGGGGTCAATCCTTGAGATGTTAGAGGCTCCTTGATTGTTTGGCGAAAATTACTTTAGTACTGTATAATTTCACGCAACTCTCGTCATTTAGAAATTTTGGGTAACATGAATTGTACTCATTTGATAGTTTTTTAGATGAGCTTCGTATAATACTTCCAGTTTTTCAATTGGCAGATGTTTGAAAAAATTGCCCGTAAACTTCTTCTGGTCTTGCTCTATACCGTTTTCCTTTCTGATGTTGTCAAACGTACCAAGTTAAAAGCTACAATACAAATACTTTCTGGGGATACACACAGAACGAGAATGGATGAGAATTAGCCAAGAGCCACTTTTCATTCTTCTCAAATAGAAGCTCCTCTGCTTCTACGCTCCTACTTTCTAATTCCACGCTCGAATTTATGTGGCTCTGGTACCCAGGTTACATTTAGACACAGCAAATGTTTCTTGAAACAGCTGTTGTTGCAAGCAAAGTGCGACCCTAAGTTGAGCTTAATTGAACAGTTTTACATATTTGGACCTGAATTTCACGTGAAAAATAGTGTTATTTTAAGCACTAAAACGAGAGTTGACTTTAAATCTAAAACGATTGAAATATACTGACTCTTTTAAAATGACTTTTCAGGCTCTGCTGTGCCACTAAACTTCGTTAAATGCAAATCGTAGATATAAAGAATATTCATCAACTGCTACGATTTGCAGAAGATTAAGAAGCCTTACTTTTCTTAAGAAACTAATCTGACTCATAATGAATATAATCTCATTACCCGTGCCGTGATCCCTCAATCTCTTTTTGACTTTCGTATTCAGAAAGCAATTATTTGTTCTAGGTTGAGCTTGCTTCCAATTTTTCCAGCGCCTTTGTTTACTGGAAACTTGATGACGTTCCTGGTGGCCCAACTGAGGTAATTCGAACTAACATTTTATTGCTTCATTCTAAATCTTCATCCATTTTGAAGTAATGAGGTTTCCAATGGCTGGTTCTTTCCTTGAAGAAAAAAAAACATTTTCTTGTGGTTTGTTGAATTTCATTGTAGCAATTTGATTAATTTTAACTGGTCACCTCGGCAATTGACTCAGCTATTATCCTCTTAACATGTTTTCCTTTGGCTGTTACTTTAAAAAAAGTAAGATGAAGCAATATATTTTTGCGTTAGAGTAAAGAATGGCCTTCAATGATTCAAATATAAAGTCAAATTGGCTGATTATTGCCACTTCATTTTTGTGTACGAAGAATGAGTAAACTATGTGGTGGGTGGGCCAAGGGGAACGCATACATATACATACCTATATTCTGTAGTTATGGTAACTGCTCACTTGAGCTAGGCCGAATTAAAGCTCGGACGAATTTGAGCTTTTGTCGGCTTTCAGGTCAATGCAAATCGCTTGTACAAAAGTTTTCATGTCGTGGCTTGCAGATTTTGTGAAACAGAATAAAATGGCATTCTGACATACGTTTTACAAATTTGACATCAGCGAAACGGTTGGAAGATATGCATTTGCGTGGGAAGTATACAGACAGACACTTTTGAGTTTTACATGAATTTCATTTTCAGTACAACTTTTTCATGCAATCTTCTATTTTGATTTCTATAAATCTCTGTGTCAATTTTCAGGAAGAAATTTCTCAAGCTTTCGATCAAAATCTGGAATTTATCAGGTATTTTGTATTATTATTTGAATCTTGTATATCAAGATGAAACAATCAGGGCTTATCATTGACTAGATTTGGGGTGAAATCGTCTATAATATCAGTCAATCCTTCACTCATATGTGAAGGGTGTAGACCTTGTTCTAAGACCCTCAATATTTCCAGTGCATGGCATGTAAATGTTTTACATCAATCCGATGTATACTCAGGATTCAGCCACTCTGTGTTGTAAGTCGAAAGATGTTTTCGCATACCATAGAGCTGGCAAACACAGCCCCTTTGATATGGTTTACTCTATTGATTAGGCTACTCTATTGATTCCCTAGGCATAAAGCATTAAGTACCCCTAAGAAGGAAATGAACCAATTCTTTCATTAAAGAAAAGCAAGCAAAAATAGCCTTAAGGCTGATATATTAAAAGTGCTTCAACATATGTTATTCTCATTTTCTTCTGGATTATGAGAGGAAGCCAACCATCCAATGTTTATAGCGTAGTTATGACGTAATATCGTAGACATAGTAGTACAATAAATTACTTTGGCTCTTGTGCAGTTGGCTGGCGGACTATGCATATAGCGTCTTATTTTCTAAAAGAAACGTTTCGTGGTTTTTATCCTTGAAACGTGTTTGATTGTCTGGTTTTGCACTGGCGTATTTGCACAGAGAGGGAAGGTTTATCTAAGATCAAACTCCGATGAATCTTCTCTAAGCTTTGCCAACGTATAATATTGATTATTTAGCCTGTCTTAGTTTTCTTGTCTTATTTTGATGCCATCAAGTCGTTTATTTCGTGTCATTAAACTAAACTGACGTTTTTGCTTAGCCTTTAGTTTTATTGGTAACACTGACACACCAATTTCTTTTCAGAAATATGCTGCCAGCGTACCACTCAATGACGCATACTCCACTTGTGACATTTGTTAAAGATTTGAAGTTAGCAAAGGAAAGGGAAATTGATAATCTTTTAAAACAGATAGAACTAAATATCCCGAACCAAGGTTGATGGCAACTAGTGCAAACAAATTACAAGTCGAATTTGAGAATTTTTTACATTGAGCTAGATGGAAATTTTATGAATACTTAGATTTTGGTATTGATTTAAGTTGATATCAGTAAATATCAGTTCTTATATCAAGGAAAGACGCAGTTATCGAGTCCACGGCCTAGACACAAGCCTAGTAGAATGCATATAAAAGGCCTAGTATCACCCCCACCCAGTACCTCTTTGGACGTGTGAAATCAAAAGCACAGATATCAGTTTTGACGGGGGGTGTCGTAGAGCACGCTGTCTGGAATCTCGTACGCTTCTAGGTTATATAAGATTTACCCTAGGTATTACAAATACCAAAAAACAGGTACAACCTTGAAGCCCCGATTAATAATTTTCAGCTTTGGGTGACTGGTGTTTTGAGCCAAGTATTTGATTTGTTCCCCAGTGTTATACGACAAATTATATGTAGGTAATTTCATACCTTAATCGAGTTAAATCACAATTTAAAACACTAATATTCACGTTCACGCGAATAGTTTATACGCTCACTATTTGAGAGCTATGAAAGTTTTATGTCACAGAGACGAAAGCAATAACGAACACAGAGATATTGCTATTGCTGTTAACGTAAACAAATTTTTGTGTAGTTAAAACATTTTTCACACAATCTTTATTGCGAGTGTTTTTGGGAAATAAAAACATTGTTTTGAGTCTGTTTTTACCTTTTTTATCGCTTTTTTTTCATTTTTCATTTCACACATACTGTTTATTTTTGTGTTAAATGCTGTACTCTGGTAAACGCCGCCCTCTATTAAACGCCGCGGCAGGAATTTTAGAGGAAATGCGGTATGTAAATTGTTTTCTTGTAAGGACGCATTTGCCTCGAGAGAGTATAAGTTGGAAGAGAATGAACAGCATGGATAAGTCTTTTTGGTATCAAGATAGGATTTAATTTATAGAATATTCTTCAAATGTATACAATTCTGCACAGCTTAATCACAAAGAGGCATTCACAACTGACATCAGTCAATATTTTACTCATTTCGAGGCCCCTTGCTGCCTCTCTTTGGCTCTTGTCAACTTTAAGCAAGTTTAACCCCTCGCCCCCTGGAGCCCATTTTCTATTATCTTATGTTAGGAGACCACCGTGCAGATAAAGGTTTCAGAGAATTTTAGTAAAGTTTTGTCAATTTCCTGTTTATTTAAGTATTTTCAAGATATTAAGAGTTATGTTCTAAAACTATGCGTAAGGATTGTTGTAACCATCACCTGTGTCAACTTTAAATAGTACCCCCCTCTCCCCTTATGGCAACTTGGAGGTATCACCCTCCTCCCAATAAGCATTATATGTCAATTGTGAAAGCTCCCCAATATGCTGTCAAACGTTCTCTTGCAGTATTAAGATTTTCCAGAAATGATAGAACACTTGCTGATGTATCATAAACTGCCAAAATAGGAGTCTCTTTATTTATCGGGTAAACCGATGTGACTTCTTTACTGGATTACTGGCCTTCGTTTCGACAGTGGATGCGATCCTATCTTCCGTCAGCTAATCACGTCGAGTTTTACGATTAATTTTTTAATGAGGGGTTTTTAATGAAATTCGATAAATGTTTACTCATTCAGTTTCCCAGACAAGCCATGCCTAGGCAGTTGGTTTTGGTAGGTGCGAGGAACCCAGTTTTGTCCGCGCACAGTTATGCTATGGCTGAATTTCCGCGCCAAAATGTAAGAACGATTTGCAACATTGGGAAGGATAAGATAACAAGACAAAATGATAAGAAAAGTCACTCTCGCAAAATGATGTTTTGCGGCAAAATTAAAGATAGATAAAGGTTTCCACGCGTTAAAGAAAGATGACTGTTTCCGCGCGGGGTTTAGGACGTCAACTGGGAGGCTCAGCATTTTGATAATGACAATTGTAATGACGATCATTTTAGAAACAGAAGCAGTTAAATAAAGGTTTGATACCGTATTAAAGCTGAAGTTTTTTGGCCGAGGATGATAGAAGATCCTATCGTAACGTCCTATAATGACATGGTCTTATCCAATCGTTTGCGTTTTTGGTAACGGTGTTTTAAAAATCAAATGGTTTTGACTAAATGTTGACAGTTTACTAGTGCTCAACTTCTCCTTCGCAGAGGTCCACTGGAAGGAAACAAATACTCCTCTCTCTAACCCTACCCGCGACTCACTCCTTTTATAATTGACCGTCGTTTCTGATATCATTATCAAAAAGTTTTAGTAAAAATTTTGCACGAAATTTGAGAAAATGAAGTTTTTGCGCGAAATAAAGAAAGATGGAGTTTTCCGCGCAATTTCAAGCAAAATAAAGCTCCGCGCATGCGCTTTGGTACACGTACGTATTTACGAACCAAAACGGTATTATCAGATATAGATATTTTTCTGTACTGATCATGCAAATGCTGCATGCAATCTATGCCGGCAGTCGCTGCATCGCATCGAATTGATGTCTTCATTTTCCTAATCTACAAGCCATCTTGAGAAGTTTCATTTGCCGTTTCCTGCGTTTGTCCTCGCCTATGAAACCATTTCAAACCGAAGGACCTTTTTCTTCGTCTTCTCTCGATTTGAAAGCCGTCCTTTATGTCTGTGACAGGTGAACCCATACGCAGGAGATACTCTGCTATGTCAAAATGCCCATGACAGTTGGCAAGCTGTAACGGTGTTAGATCCATGTGATCTCTTACGTTGATATTAGCTCCATTTTTCACAAGCATTTCCACTATTTCTAAATTCCCAACTATACACGCTTGGTGTAACGCAGCAGTACCGGGCGGACGAAGATAATTCACGTTAACTTTGGAACGCAACACGCCTTTTAGGAGCTCCAAATCACCTTCAATTATTGCAAAGTGCATAACGTCCTCCTCCGCAACATCAGAATTTACCCTGCGAAGTCTAGGACTATCTGTCACTTCCTCTTCCACAAGTTTTCTTATCTCTTTATTAGTACACTCATTTTGCTTCCTTGACTCACAAATGTCTTCGATTTTCTCCGGCTCTTCATGTGAGATTGAAAAACTAATCTTTCTTTTCATATTTTGCCACAGGGTCGGAGGCTTTTGGTCTCTTGGAATTTCAAAACTTTCTGGTGCATACCTCTGGGCTGGCAATGAAACTTTTCGACTGCGTCTGCCCTTTTCGTCAATATGGCCACCTTTGACAAGGCTTCGAAGGGTCTTCATTTTCTTCCCTTCACAACCGGCACCTGCAACAATTTAATGGACAGTTCAGATTAAAAACCTTGTGCAAATGTGTGTTTATTTGCAGCAGCGCCAAGTTCCTGTTCTACACAGAGAGGGAGGATAAGGAGGGGGAAAATGGTGCGGGGCCTGTGCTCCAAATTATCTTAAACCATGTTACTATCAGTAACATGATAATTATCTTACAACATGTTACTATCAGATTGTTACGATTACAATCAAGTTATGATTACAACACAAAAGCCTATTTTTTCCGCTACATATATGCAACCAATGCCTGTAAGTTTATTAAAGAGGAAAGCGATGTTCACATGTCTTTGATTCATGAATGTTTTTGCAGAACCTCGTTGAGAATTGTTAAAAAACTTTTTCAACAATTGAACCGAAAAACTTTCCAAAAAAACTGATAATTACAGAAAATATTTTGGGCCCAGTTTTGTAAGTGACTCCTGGGCCCGAGCTGGGTCTCGACGACACAGTTTTATTTGAAGTCTCCGTTTATTTTAACAACGAGACACCTTTTTGTTAAATACAACTGCAAGAAAGAAAGTTTCTTGAGAAAATTAATGATTACAGCTCTAATTTTCTTGTGCCCCTCTCCCATCTTTCCACAAACAGTAATACAGAGGCACATACAAATACGGTTAATATAAAGAGTCCCTTTTCTTATAAATTGTAATTCTATCAATCTACATTTCTGAAATTTGATTTTCTGTTGTCTCTGTTGTGTGCTACAATTGAGTTTGTAATCTACCGTTACCATTCGAATTGTTTATGTTGTGCCGTGGCTAGACTTGTGCCCTCTTACCTCTGATCTTTCTGATCTCATACCCTCTTTTCCCGAAGCAAAGGAAGCCTGCACTCGAAGAGGGAGACAGGGGCAAAGCGCCAGGAAAAGGGGCAAAACAATAGTAAAATAAAGAAAAATGCTTGATTTAGCGAAGGCAAGCTGGGCCAATACCCCGCTGCTCCCCTGGCGCAGGGGTCCTTGCCCAAGGCAAGACAAATAAGAACGCGAAAAAGATGTCCTGAGATCTCTATTTCGTCCCTTTTCTTTTTCCCTTTCCCCTTAGTTCCCCCTTTCTTTTTTCTAAGGATAAAAGGGTGTGTAGTCAGATAGATTCACGAGATTAACGACTGGACATGGACTGAAAGAGCTGAAGCCTGATGCAGTATTGCTGCCTTCGAGTCTCAGTTTCAAACATAGCGCAAAGCTGACATTTCAAGGCTCATTTGCGCATGCGAAATCTGATCTCGATTGATAGATATGTTAGATCGCCTGTTTTTACGTCATCGACAAGATGAAAGTTAGAATGCTTACCAAAAACCCTTTAAAAATGATTTGCTTTAAAAACGGCTGAAAGAGATTAGGAAGAATTCATAGGAACGGGTAGCCACAGAGCTGTGTTTCAATTACACGAGTCATAATTTGTTTTCGCCTGCAAAACATTACACCCATGTAGATTAGATTCTTCAATTTGAATAACAATAATAGCCCGTCTGGATTCACGATTCAAATAAAACAGACACCAAGTCAACCTCTTGTCGGTTTTATTCTTGTATATCATGTAATCTTGTATATTATCGCAGTAAAGTTGTGCTACCTAATTTTTATGGCCTTTGCAATTGAAAATGGTTGTTTATATGTGGTGAATATAGCCAATATCGGTTTTCAAAATCCTGAATCAAACACGGTGGCTTGCTTAATGCTCATATTTTTGACTTTGATTAACAAACTAATATCTTTTGTAGACTAAAGATAAGGTCCCGCCATTGAGTTAATCCTTAAACTCTTTTACTTATCTTTGGCAAATATCTCTAGGCACAAACTTTGGCCTAGACAAGATACTCAAGTGCAACTTCCAGACCATATCATTCCTGTGACGTCAGGTCGACCGTCGTCGAAAGCCTATTTTTCCCTACTTACACCACCCAATAACTGCAAAACTCGCATTGGCAGACAAGTAGGTGTATTCTTTCCGTGTGAGTAGGAAGCAAACGACTGCGACTTTGAGACAGTCAGTTGGAAAAAGGCCTAAAGGTGTCAACATTGCTCTTACTCAATATTTGTAGCCAGCATTCATGATAAGTCAACGTAAATGTTTATCAAATGAATCCTTTTTTAAAAAGAATAAATTTTATAAGAATATTGGGGCTCGTAATTGGAATTGCTAAGATTAAAGAACTAAGAAACTATAGAAAAAACAGGCTCAAAGCTCATCTCCAGCTCGACGTCCAAGCTGAAGGGGACAGAGGGTTCTTGAAGAATCCGGATAAATTCAGATATAGGGGGAGAAGGTGTTTACGCAATCCGGACGTCCAGGTCTCTAGATATTAGAACGAGACATTTCAAGTCTCAGTTTGCATTGACCTTATCATTAAGTATTCGGACAGTCAAAAAGAAAAAGGTATCTTACAGGCCACCCTGGGTACCAGATTCAGTGACTCTCGTACCCAGTATACTTCCAGGCCTACTTCTCTTAATAAGAAATTTTGAAGCTGGGCTGCAGTTGGCTAGTATTTTGGAAACAACCTCAAAGAAAGGGGTCAAAGAAAGAAAGATTTACACGGGTCTTCTGCAAACTAATGGCAATATCACATCTGAAACAAGAAGGCTACGAGCAAGTTGACTTGCCGTATGACTTGTTCTGTCCATTTGTGCAAAAAAGCATTCAAAAAAGGTGGCAGCAGATACCAGTACGGTTTTGTGAAATGCCGGTAAAATGTCACCTCTATAGAGCTGGCTAAAATGAACCTCAAGATGCCTGGCCACAAAAGGTTGGCACTGAAGAGTAAAGAAAAACACAGAGTGAAGCAGCAAATGAGGAAGATGAAGTAGAGGGGGATGAAGTAGCAGTTATCCCCTCTTGTGGATATTGCCACCTTTTTGAAGCGCCATTCACAGAAAACGATTATGAAGAGTGAAACACGACTTTTGCTGCTTATATTTAATACAATATATCTTATATCTAATGCATTTTTTAATATGACATCATATAAAAAACGTACTAGAAAATCAAAAATTGTTTATCAAGTTAGTTTCTGGTTGGAACAAAGGGCGGAATTTTACATTCTATTTACATATACATGTTTGAATAGCTTTCAGTATGATATCAGTGGAAGTTTGAGGAAGGGGGAAGGGGCTCTTAATACGGACAATGCCGGACAAAAGGGGGGGAAAGGGTCAGAAAATTCATCTTGTTGGTGGACGTTCTTTGTGAATGGCCCCTAAGCCAATCTGTCTCTTTTAGCAATAATAATCGCCTTGTGGTAGCTAAAATATTTCAAAATTCGATTTTGCATTTTTTAAAAATATTGATTTAACATTTGGCTCATGCAACCAAGGAAACGGTGAAGTTTTGTGTAGAAAGAATGTTTTGAGCATTTAACAGCCCAATCTGGCTTTACACCAGTCATTGGGCTTAACTTTGAAGAAAATATATTGAATTAACGCCTGGTCAAAAAGGCATTAGAAGCTGAACCAGAAGGTGTGGGTTGCTGAAACTCGTAGCAAGCACGGTTACCGGCTTTAAATATTATTTTTTCAAAGCTTTTATCTTGTATGTTGTTAATAGCTAAAACAAAAATTTAGTCGTTAAAAGTGGATCGATTGTTTTGAAAACCAAGTACCACTTTGGGTCGGAGCCCGTTTCAAATGAAACTGGTCCTCCTGTTTCCCATATGCTGATTCTTAAATTAAAAAACCTTTAGTCAGTTGCTAAATTTAAGCAAGCTCAGGCCCTTTAGCAGACGACACTTAACTTTTCATGTGTCTAAAATCAACAGGAAAGTACCATGTGATAGCGCTTATCCGAGAAATAAAATTTGTTCGTGTCCAATTATGTTGCTGATACTGGGCTTTTCTTTTTTCAAAATAAAGATTAGAGTTTTGTCTATGCTTCTTGCTAATCTACGATTTTGAATTGATAAAATCTTGCCAATCTCCCGCAAAAACAAAACTCAGCAAGTCTCCTAATTGCTAGATTGGCTGCATATAAAATACACGAAAACCTCCTTTTTCGTATTTCGCACGTTTAGTATTTTGTTAAACAGTCTTTAGATGGGTATCCAAACTGGTCTGGCAGCCCAATTAGAAAATTCTTACTCTACTGTGTTATACTTTAACGTATCTTTTCCCCGAACTATGTTCCTTTGCCTCTCGAACGTTTGCCCCTAATCCTTTCCATCCTCTTAACATTTTAGCTGGGTAGAAACTAGAAACGTCACCTCAAAATGATGGAACAGAATCATGAAATTATGTGTTTGTCGATAGAGACATGGCCTAATGAGAAAATATAGTTTGCATCGCTGCGGACAGCACTTTAGGGAATATGCGCTTGGCTTTGTTTCAACACTATGGTTTCAAGAAACTCATGTTAAGCCATGTGTTGGAAAACACTTGTTTGGACTTTAGTTAGTATTAGATGCATTAATGTTGCTAATTGTTTGCTCCCTATTATAAAGAAATCCAAGAGTACCCGTCTCCTAAAAACATGCCCCTTAGAACATAGAACAACCGTAATTACAATCATTCCATACCAAATAAGTTGCCAAGAGAAGTGTATGCTTCATGTTTCCTGAGCAGGCCAGAGTCGCAATACATCTTAGCAACTTAGATGCTCGCCAACATGGCATTTTGGAGATCACATTGCGTTTTAAAAGAACAATTATATTCCAGATAAACAAAGAGGGTATGTAGCGTTCTTACCAATTTATGATGTTTTATTTGTCTTCCACCTAACTTCATCTGTTTTATCGATTGTTTCAGTAAACCGAAGGAAGAAGAAGTCTTTCTACGAAATTTCTTATAAACAAGGAATAAAGTTTTCATCAAGTTAGTATGATAAAAGAATGACTGCTGCATGTAGAGAACTTAGCTAGGTGGGGGAGAAATTGTGAAACTTCTTTATGAAGAACAGTTGGTTGTCTGATAACTTATAATGTTTTTCAGATAAAGATGGCTGGTTTTGATCACGAAGTTAAGTTTGTAAGATCACCAACTTAGAAGGTATTTGCTTTATCTGTTCGTACATCAGAACAACTGTGCCGTGGTAGAAATAGGTCTTTGTCTAGCATCAGTATGGAGCAAATAAACTTTCTTTTGACAAGTGGCTCGCCTGGTGCTTCTTTTGATGCCAGAGCCCACATAAATACCATTAATGCTAGCTCTGCTCCACACCAAATTTGTATCCGTATTATGCACAAGGCGTATAGTGGTTTCTTGTCGTATGTATAATTTAACATAGCTCTCAAACAGCCCCTGGAATATTTTACAAATTCACTACTATGAACTTGAATTACACATCTTAAAGGTTGAATTACAAATGCAAGGTAGACAAGCTTCACTGAATGCAAGGATCAAATAACAATCAATCGATGACGTCACAGCAAAGATAAAGAGCCAAAACGAGAGGGTAACCAATAGGTCCCTTAAATCACGAATTCCCGCTACGTTTTCAGCCCGATTCCGACCATCAATTCCCGAATCCTGGTGTTATCGATTGCCGACTCCGATTCACAAATATTCGCAAAATCCCTATTCCCAACACCAAAAAATGACAATTCTCGCTTCCCCGAAAAAAATTGGGTACCATCAAGAGATGATGATCACACCCACCACATGTAAATGTTTTTCTAATCGGCTGAACTATGGCCAAATAAATAGCTAAAACTGTTTCCTCTGTCATTCTTCGCATTATGAGACACTGCTGCTTTGATTTGCTAAATGATAATTGACAATAACTATTGCACTAGCTATTGGACTATGCAATCGAATTTGCAAGGAACAGATTACAGATCATGTTCTGTAGTTTTAAATTCATGGAAAAAATAACAAAAACGTTGTCACGGCCAAAATTATCTGGTTCCGCGCTAATTTTCTAGGCGCTTTCTTCCGGCAGCATTTAGGAAGGGACGAATAGACAAAGATAGATTTTACAGCTTCTTCGTTGCGGTGTTCGTTAGTTTCACTTTCAGAAAATACACACTTTTTATAAGAATATCTAATTTTTTTCCGGGGCTTCAATTTTCTTATTCTTTTTATTTTGAGCTTAAGATTATTCTTAATTTATTCTTAAGCGACAAAAGGTATAACCGGGTTGCTATATAATTTTAATGACTTCAAGGCCGGAAACGTCCATCTCAAGACACATAGCGTGACTCACATTTGCTTTGCTTTCGAAAAAACTCAACAAGCAAATAATTTAATCCTTGGTGAAGCTATATTCTTAAATTATCCTTAAATTTCAGTGATTTCGAGCCTCGATATTCTTATAGACTATATTCTTATAAAAAGTGTGTAGGTGCCAAACATTTGGTAGTTAGATCCTAGATGAAAAATCTTAAAAAATTTCTACAGGTACATATCTTATCTTATTGAACTCCAAAAACTCCATCACCTGATAAGAACTGCCACTGCTACGACACTGGTGAATAGAGTCCCAGATAGTTCCCTTGTTAAAGCAAAACGGGGTTCGTCATATTGGAATGAAATTTGACTGTGTATTGCGACAACTTTCGCCCTATTGTCGGAGTGTTAAGATATAGCGACTTGGCGCCAGCTCAGAATTCGCCTGGAGATGTTAAAATAGATTTTCCAACGATGACGTAAAAACGTTGCGTGACGTTATTGCGTAGAAATCCCTGTTGTCGCGAAAACAACCTGTGTGGGGTGATTGGAAGAGGAGTGAGTGAGGTCAGTTAAACAAAAATAGAATATAAGGGTAACCAAGGGAGATTAACCTGTCATGGCTTATAACTAAAATAGCTATTTGAGAAACCATCCTCCTATTACCAGTGAACGAAGTTCCTTTGAAAATTCAATGCGTGCGAACTCAGGATATTTTGGGGTGTCTTCCTGCCGGTACTCTGAACTCTTTATCACAGTAATTTTTATTCTGTGCTTTCATCAACACATTTCATTACAGCAAATCGTTGTGAGTCAGAACTGAGTTTTTAAGAAGTGTGTGAGCTGAAAGAAGTTTGACGCCAGTCTGCAGAGTATGACAGTTCTAAAAGGAAATCTTGCGCGTACACGGTCATTTTAGCAACATTTTCCGCGAAAACTTCCTTTTACCAATCATATCGTGTGCAAACAGAAGGTTTTCCATAATAGAGTAACTGTAAATTTGGTACGCAATTTCAAATTTCGGATTGCGGTGTTATATCGACCTCGAGTGTTCACATATCAAATCTGCAGACCTTCAATGCACGTTCTTAAGTTTCAAGATGTTGTTTGTTTGTTACGGTCCTGTTCTGCTCTGTTTCGAGATAAAGGAAAATTAAATAGAAATAAAGAAAATTCGGGATAAAGAAAGATATAAATTGAATATGTAGCTTACTTTTTCGATTGGGATTTTATTTAAGTGAAACTCTTAAATCTTGCGATTTTCAGCGATCACAATCCTCTAGATTAGTCGAGCCGATTCAAGTTCACGGCTTCTCTGACATAAATAATCATTTTTAGTCGATCTAATGCTAAGTCGATCATTATAAGTCGATCTGGTGAAAAAATAGCTTAACATTCTTAAACTTCAATTCTCTAATACATGATTATGTTGTGATTACTAATTAAGAATCACTGATAATTACCTTCCGCAGTAAAATGATTCCTTGTCCAATATCAAGCCTTCGAGTTGAAATTATCATCCGCTTAGCTGTATGCCAACTTTTTTGTTTATTTTGCTTAGCGATTCAACAAAAAGGAGATTTGTTCAAGACTCCTGTGATCAGCTGGGATGCCGTGTTCAACTATAACAAATTAGATTATTTTCGTGCAACCAGCCGAGCTTCATTCATAATTGCGACGATCTCTGGCTGTTAACAAGAATGCTGACGCAGTTCCCCGTGTCAATCACTGGAGCATGTGAAAGAAATGGCAGAAATGTGAACAAAGCTTCTAGAACTGACAAACTGACAACATAGACGGTGAATGCACAGCCATCCTAGCAATTTTATCACATTAAACTGCCGCATTCTCTGGCCGTATAATTCCAACGGAAACTCATTTTCTCAGTTTCGGCCAGGAGATTGTCACTAAGGCTCAAACAACAACGTTTTCCAAACTCTCAAATTACGAGCATGGCTGACGGAGGATGTATGTCGGAGCAAATTCTGAAATGGCAGGCACCGCGGAGCAGGGGGGGCTTTAGCCCCCCCCCCCCACTTTTTGCAAAAAATGCCAAATGTTAACTATCAAACTACCAGAAAGGCCTCTTTTTATACGGTTTTAGCCCCCCCCCCGCACTTTTTTTAGACCCCACACTTTTCTCAACGCTCCGCGGTGCCTGAATGGGGGCTCCACACAATTAGTAAACCATTTGCCACCATTATATTTGATGTCACAACATCCTTAATATCATACAGCAGGGGAAAAGTGCAGTGCTGTCGGAACGAAATTCATATTGGGGGGGGGGGGGCTGTCCATTGTTTTCCTTCTCATTCACTACACTGTTATAAAGGAAACATACTACAGTTTGACAATTATTGGGGGACTCAAGATTAACTCACATTAAAGTGTGTCACACTTAAGGACTCTTTCAAACTCAAACTCGAGCAAGAAGGGGGCAGGCTTTAAAATAAGGGGGGCAGGCTTTAAAATACCTGAGGGGGGCAGGCTTTAAAATAAGAAAACAGATATGCAACAAACAGATATATTTGGACAAAATCAAGGTCATGAATTTAGAAATATGCCAAATTTTCAAAATATCATTTGGAAAAACTGTAGCCAAAGAGGGCAAGCTGTTGTCAAAATTTTCATTTAGGGGGCACAGCCCCCGTGCCGCCCCTGCAGCTACATGGCTGAATTGAAAATGCCGCTATTCAGTCCAAAGTTACCTACGATTTACAAGGTATATGAAATAACAAATATACTACGCGAATTCATGAAAAATTGACTAAAATAAATATCTCTTTCAGTTTCACTTTATATACATTGAATCCAATTGTCCTTGTAAAAACGACAAGCTTATAACAATTGTTGCCAATTTTACAAGAGAAATTATCAGAGTATCTCTTCAACTATGCATTCTTATTCATAAGAACCATATAATTTTTCCGAAGGGCAAGTATTCTTTTATCTGAAAATCCCTGGAAATCCTTTTTTCATAGAAATCTCGTTTGCTGTTTGCAAGGGTGAATTTCCCCTCAATTTCTTCCGAGTCTCGGTGTTCTTAATTTTTTGAAAAGTTGAGGCTGAGATGTACTTAGTGCTTTTTGTATATAAATGTTGATATTTCTACATCTACAAACTACAAATTGTTCCTAAGACAAATAAATAGATGTTTTGCATAATCTTGATGATAGTAGCTCGGTTGTTTAGCTGAAAAACATTATTTTTTCTTCTTACATTGCATCGGAGGCTGGGCATGTTTGAACGTTGTTCAAGGGTTGCCAGATAGAATGATGATGATGATCCTATTTCTATGGCTTAAACTCTTTGATGGTTCTGTAGTGATTCAATTTAGGCCATTTTACACAATCCATTATTGCTTTTTCTACATACCTACGCAATTCTACATTCCTCTTTCTTTACGCTTATTACACTTCATTTTATCCTAATCAATCACACCATTGTTAGCCATCAAGCACATCCTCTCCTTTGTATAACGCTTAATTAAATTTACTAGTTTTCTATATCAATACGCACTTTTGTAAATAATAGTCAGTCAGCAGGGCCTCCGACGAAGGGGGGCCAGGGGGGCCTTGGCCCCCACATTTTTGCAAAACAATAGAGTTTTATTCAAATTCTTTTGTTATGGGTGTTAAATTTTCCCTTGGCCCCCCCCCAACTTTTCAACCTTTGTCGGAGCCCATGGTCAGTAGAAATCACGTTACACACTGCACAAACAGTTTGCATCTCTCTGGCTCCGTGTCCTCTGCACGTTAAAAAAGATCGCACTGGTTGAAAACAGCACGTTTGTCGTTTAATGGAAAATTTAGGCAATCATCGATCGATGTCCCTTCTCTACCATTATAGTAAGCTTTTTTCTTTCTTTCTTCTACGTGCGGACTCATCAAAATAAGTCATCCAACCAATTTAACATTGTCTCGTTATATCCAGTCGTGACAAGTGATTAATCAATAGTACTTCGTTTTTGTCGTTCGCTGCTATTTTCGAATTTCAAATAGCATTTTGACAGGCATGATGTTTTTAAAAACCAGTTGTCCTCGAAAGTTTCTGCAAGAGTCCGTCTCTAGGACTTAAATGGATTATGGGGTATCTAACATTATTCATTTGGAATTGTCGCAGAAAAACATGGCGCAGAAAAACTGCACAGCGAAGGACGCCCAGGACCGGGCACTCTGGAGGCAGGCCCAAAAAGAAGAGCCACGAAGATCCAGCCGTAGCAGAAAGGGCCAAAGGCAGAAAGATCCCGACTTCATGTACTAACTCTCTTTTCTTCTCTCTTCTTTTTCGGAAGTTTTATTTTTATTTTTGTAAAAATCACAACTTGTCACCGAACCCAATGAATGAATTCATTTGGAATTACGTTGCACACTGGCAACATAAATTCTTTGACTTCCCATCCCATGCTTTATAATTCTTTGACTTCCCATGCTCCATTGGCATTGGACAAAAGCTTCATTTGCTTTTACGTGTTTCTGATGAATTGGTGGTATTCGTGACAAGGCTCATGGAAATAGAACTTTTTTTCCAGCAACGGCATTGTTATAAAAAACGGACTAAATTTTAGAATTTCTGAATTCTGATCTCAGAACCTGAAAGAGCATCATAATATACCTCTATATATAAACAATCAGTTAAAGACACTACGAATTGGTAAAGATATGGCCACATGAGCACAGGCTCTAGCCCCATCAAACCTCTGTAATTTGATATTGGTTCTTAAATTTATGAACCAGGCCAGAATAACAGTAATCCGTTAGCAAACTTGAAATCTTTCGTTGGTCATATCTCGCCCAATTTGGAACATGTCATCTAACTAATTTTGCATATTGTATTTTATGCTGTTCTTTCAGATTATGTGGCCAAATTTAAGAAATTCTAAAAATTGATTTTTTGATGACGTCACACTTTGGTACTCTATTCAAAAAGGCATTTAGAATTCCTTCGACTTTTTGAACATATTGGATATGGGAATATTTGGTAGAACAGACAGGGTTTATTTGAAGAATAGAGGGAGTAGAGCAGGGGTGGGCAACCTTTTTGGAGGCCAGGTCCTTCAAACTTTTCTTTAAAGGGCCAAAAGGTAGTAAGAAAAAGAATATGATAGTTGTAATAAAATTATAATGATAATGATGGAAAACTTTCATTCAAGTTCAACAACACTACAGTTACAAATCTCTCTTTTACATATTGAGAGAGTTTGCAACAATAGATAAGACTATTACAATCGTAAGTACAAAAGGGGAAACTGGAAAAACCAACTTAAACAAAGAAAGATGTCACTCAGGGTTAGGAGAAGTCATCCTAGGAAGAAAAAACAGAACTATCTACCAATCAACGTTTATCATCGGCCTTTTAGCTCAGACCGTTCAAATATATATATACGTAAACACCAATTTATCCAATATAGCCACCCCCACCCCCACCCCCACCGCCCCCGCCACACTAGCAAATGAGACAGGACAAAATAGGGACAACCGTATTCCCTATTCAACTGCCATGAGTGCACCCGGTAAGATTCACCTTTGTTGTGTTTGTTAACTTTCGTCTAGTCCCTAAAAGCAAAGCTCGATGATTCTGCTGTCCTGTCTTTAAGCAGGATGAGTTCGTGACAACGGACATTAGACAGTAGACAAGCTAATATCAAATCGATATGTTTCATTCAATATTTGTGACCCCTTTGAAAACTACCCTTGCCAACAAAAAAAACGATAATATGACATTTTTCATCTCACGAACCACAAAAATTGTCTTCCCTGGACGGATTCTGGCGATAGCTGGCTTAATCTTTTCCTATTTTTTCATGTATCTGCTGGTTTTCGGACTGAGAAACACATTCAAATACTACTAAAAACCTTCTTCAACTATTTTCAAGAATCACTGAACAAAAATCTTTCCTTTAAAAATGAAATATTTTTCAAGCCGTAGAATTACATTTTGATGACAATTTGTTTTACCATATTTGCCTATTTTCGTAGGATTCTAGTTGTTTTGGACTGGCAATCAACGTCACATGCTATAAAAAGCCTTTACTAACAGCTTTCAACAGTTTTTAGGCAACAAAACCTTTCTTCAAGATTGGTACTTTTTCCAAGACTATCAGGACTATAGGCTTACAATTTCATCAAAAACAGCTGGTTTAATATTTTTCTATTTTTACATGTATCTGTTGGTGTTTTGACTGAGAAACACATCCAAACACTATCAAAGTCCTTCCTTAACTTTTTTTCAAAACTTTTTAAGCAAATAAAGTTTTTATTAAAAAATGAAAATATTTCCTGAGCATATATGCTTACATTTTCACAAAAACTTGATCCAATCTTTGCCTATTTCGACAGGTATCTAGCGGTATTTGGACCATTAATCGCAATCAAACGCTTTTTAAAGCCTAATTATCCGTTTTCAACAGATTTTAAACATTAAAATGAAGTTTTTCAAAGCTTCTTACATATTCTTTAAATTTTTTCAGTCCAATTTTTAACCTATTTTCACAGGTGAATACAGTTGTATTTGTACTGTCTATCAGCTTCAAAAGCCATTAGCAGCCTTTATTAAACATTTTCGAAAGCTTTCATACAAGAAAAGTTTCCTTCAAGATAGGGTTTCTGCCAAGCCTATAGGCTTTAATTTTCTCAAAATTTGTTGATCCGAACTTTTGATTTTTGTACAAATATCAAGCTTTATTATGGCTGTTTGTCATATTCAAACACTATCAGAAACCTTCCTCGACCATTTTCAATAGTTTTTAAGCAACAGAGGTTTCCTTCAAAAGTTTTTCTTTCCAAGCCAATAGGCTTAATTTTTTGTGAAACTTGTTGGTCCAGTCTCTGCCTATTTGTATAGGTATCTAGTGGTATTTGGGCTGTCAGCAAGGGTGCCGTCCTAAGAGAGGAGAAGAGGAGGGGGTGTGCTGTAGACAGATTCAAGAGGCCACGCCCGTGACCACACCCATGATCACACCCTTACTACAAAACGCATTCTTCAAGAATATGTTTTTAGACAAATAATGCTGTCAACTCGAGCTTCCCCACCTCTGAGTTTGTTTGTGCAGTCATTGTTTATTTTTCTTCATTTCAAAACCTAATCCATTATCTGGCTACCTAACTCTTGCTAAAATGTATTAGCAAGATAATAAATCAACTTGTTATCAAAATTACTTGGATCCACTGGTTGACCAAAATATGGAGGCCAATGTATTTTCTTTGTCGCAGATGGTTAGGATTTCCATCAAAATTCTTGAACGCTTATTTCCACTGCTTCAAGAATTTTAAAGATCTCAAATCAGGAAAAAAGCTAACGTTTTTTATGATTCCTAATATAATTTGATTGATATTGATCCCAATGTAAATAATTATTGTAATTAATGTGTCCATAAATTAATTAAAGAAAAAACAAGGTCTAACTGGATTCCCGTAGAAGATTCCATTTGTTTGTGCCAAATGCCAAGGAGAGGGGTGTCGTATTACACTGTACGGTGGTGCCAATTGTGGAACTTGAGGCAGTGGCACCTGCCTTGGAGTATCAGGTAGAGGCCTAACTTCTTGCATCAGTGGCAGCTGCTTCACAGTCCCTTTTTTAGTGAAATATTTCGTCGGCTTGATATCTGCAGGTAAAGTTTCTTGGATGTTCTATGAGAATAAATAAGAGACAAGATGAGTATTGAATATGAGAAATGCAACGTAGATTTCCTTACGTTACTTGGTTGCTGGAAAAAACCTAAATCTTACTTAAACGGGATAATTTTCTAGAAAATTCCCAACAAATTTCAAAATAAAGATTTTCTCGCAAACGAAAGTGTTTCACCTATATTTACTTGTCTAAATAACCATCCCACTATTTACAATTGATGATAAAATTTGATGGATGGAAAAGAAGGCAGCAATTTTAAGCTGTTAGAGCTAGTTAATTTTATGAAATACGGCATTGCTGTTGATATGATATATACTTACATGCTTCTTAACTGCAGGTGCGATAGTTATTTTTCGACCTTTCAAGTAAATGGTCCCTTGCTTAAGAACGTTGGCAACTGCATCTTTTGAGTCGAATGATACGAAACCAAAGCTGTTGAGAATAAGAATATGTTTCATTTTGGTGCAACAGAGAAGTTAATATTTAAGGTCCTAGTAATGACAATTGTTTCAAATTTGATATAAAATTTTCTATTTGTGGACACTTTTACTATTTAAATGGACTCTACGTACAAATCAGGCAAAAAGTGGATAAACAAATATAAAAAGATGTTAGGGGAGTCTTAGAGCAGGGCGATGGCAAGATTTCTAAACATAGCCTAACTACAGAAAGATTCACTTGGTATCCGAAGAAGCATCTTTAATTCTATATTGTTCTAGATGTTAAATATAATGGGCGTTGAGTTCCAACCGAGCGAAACAACGCCTGGAATACCCTCGTGTTTTTCGTACCTGGTTAAAACTTACCCTCTTGAACAGCCATTTGAATCTAGAATAATCTTCGACTCGATGACAACTCCGAAATTTCTGAAGAACTCTGCAATTTCAGCTGGAGTTGTCTGTTGATAAATCAGTAAAACATTGATCAAAATTGCAAACTGGCACGGGGAGAAAATTTGCATATGGCATCAAAAATGTCTTTCATTTGACGTCTTCAAGAAACACACAATGCAAATTTCAGCGTATTGGATACTTAATGTCTGTCTAAAAATTTTGACAGGACCAAACAAAACTGTATACAACCAAGTCAATTCATCATTGAGCCTACAACTGGAAAATCGCATTCAAAATGATGTGATTTTCATATGAATAATTTTCAGCCAGCAACTCACTTCTCTTGTTAGTGATCCAACAAAAATTCGATGAGGAAAATGAAGGGCTAGCATCGAGTTGACTGATTTGATCGTCTGTGCATCCTAAAAACGAGAAGTAAAAATGGCTGTAGAATGGAATAAAAAGAACATTGTAAGCACAAGCCACGTGTTCTGGCTTCTTTGGGGCATGTCTTACAGCTTGCGTAATGTCCATCGTGGGGTAAGGTATCCGGTTTCAGGTCCGACTGCTATGGCAGCGATTGCAAACGCCTTTGTATGAAAAAATTATGTAATAGAATCTAAAAATTAGCAATAGATAAACGTAATCTCATTTTACATCCCTTTTCAAAGAATGGTGTTCCTAGGCCAGTATTTCGTAATCCCTCCATACCTGAAGATCATCTGCAGATTTAAAGCTTCTCGCCTAACAGTTTGGTAGCTTTAGAGTGTGTTATGATTACTTTAACTATTGTTCTAGCAAACCTACTTACCATTTTTGCTCTCCTGTGCTTTTCAACAACCGTTAGAATCTTGAATTTCTGTTTGTGTACGTCTATTTATAGGCACACCATATCAGCTCTGCACGAAACCATTGACCAAAATTGAAAAAGTCGACGATATATTTTTATCAAATTTGAAAATGTTTTTGAAACCCAACGATCATTTTTCATCAAAATATTCTTCTGTGACACAAGTTGTTAATTCTTAAAAGCTTGTACAAAATAATGTCAAATCAAAATGGTGAAGAACTCGTTGACAAATATTGACAATGGATATAGGTCGTCACGCCCATAAAAAGTTTTTTGTTATTATAACCCAAAAGTTCAGTTATAACCCTCTATTCTGCAGGTCATGGATCTTAGTGTGAAGTAATTACATGCAATTTTTCTTAAATCTCTTGAAAAATTTATGTGATGATTTGCCTTTCAGCATACTGCACGAAATTGCATGGACAATCTTCCTGAAACCTGTAACCATATGATCCCATCAACTTAACTTCGAAAAATTCATTTTTGATGAACTAGGCATTTCTATTTTCTCCTCCATTGTTACGTGATTTGGAATCAATTGATGATAAAACCTTGGCTTACTCACAGCATGTCCTAGCTCGTCACCAAACCATAATTTGTTCAATATTACCTAACAGAAAAGATTAATACAAGGCTCCCTTCACACTTCTGAATGACCAACGGAGCTTTAATCACTTTCTTGGAACACTAACCGTCTGTTTTCATAGGCAAATTCAGTCACCCCCTTTCGCCCTAGGCGCAAATGGAGTTCGTTTTCTCTTGTGGCTTGTGTGATATTTCTATATACTTTCAACATTGTTCTGGAGGGAAAGGGGAACGGAGGTAGGAGGAGGTATTTGAGAAAACAAACGAAAGAAACACGGCGCAAAGTGTTGGGTGTTCTAAGTAATTTTGGCAGTGATTTCAGATATTTCTTCCTTTTATAAAAGCGGATTGGACTGTCGCACCATTCGCACGTGTGAAAGCCACCTTTCAAAAACATGGTTGCAGTGCGTCTCAAAAGTCTTGAGTCTTGAGACCACAAAAGAGCTTTTGCATCTCGTCATTTTTCTCCCAAGTTGAGTTCTTAGTAAAAAATCTCTCATTTGTATTCTAGTTCTGATTGATCCAGGGTAAAAGTTCCAAAAGCCGCCATTGTTGATCAAAGTTGACGCGGTTACCGTCGGTCCAAAACAAAATTCCGAAGCGGTCGATCTAGGCAAGGACTAATCGTATAATGCGCGCACGCTCAAAATGGGTGCTTGGGACAGAGTTCATAGACTACATATATAGCAACCTTGATGTGATGTGAAGTCCGCAGACGGAATTGTTTTGTGCTTGAGAATTTTTCTTACAAATAATTTGAAATAATCAACTACAATCTTATCAAGGTCTGTCGCTAGCTATTGTGCTCAAGGGGGGTTTTGCCGAAAAAAGTGGGTAAGCCATTTTAATTGTGTCTTATCATGAGGTTACAGTAGCAACAGTGCAAAATGACGATTGCACATACATGAAATTGGATTTTAAACATATGATATAGATTGAATATTCCTGTTTTACCGGTTGGTAATGAAGTGCTCGATGCCGTACAGGCAGAGCTGTAAACTGTTGCCTGATTATCGCATTAAGCGTAGCCTGCGTGCACTCTGTTGACAAAATTGAAAATAGGAGAAAAAGTAGAGTCCAGAGTCTGCGAAGCGGGTCTGTTGCGCAGACTCTACTTTCTCTCCTCTTTTAAATTTCCGAGTCTGCACGCGGAGTAACAACTTAGAACTGTCATGTTCTGCATACCTATGTTTACCAATGTATATGATATACCAAACTTTTCCAACAATATTCACATACACACATATCCCATGTGCTTGCCTTCATGTAAATACATCCACCAATAAGAAGTAGAGCTAATGTTCTAGGGCGGGCAGAAATTTCAAATTTCCTAATGAAATTATTTTCACCTGAAAATTGGTATACATGTCCCCAAAATGATACTGAAATTTTTGTGTTTTCAATAATAAGCTGCCCCTGCCTACTGAGCCGAAAACCCTTGACTAATTATTTACTTTATTTGCTAATTATATAACCGAGGAAACAGATCTTCCTTCATTAGGCTACCCTGTGCTGTAGACCCCTCCTTTCAAACGAAGATAGGCGATTCCTATCTTTAGGCTTAAAACGATTAAATGTAAGTTAAGTTGAATTCCCCAGTTTTGTTTTCGTGATGATCTTGATTCAAAGCATATACGTGGTATTCTAAGTTAACTCAAGAGCCGTTATTTTCTGGTTATTTAAGTAAATGTTATTATTATCTGGTGAAATTATCAGACAAACCAACCATGGCCAAACTTGCAAAATCTTGTGGAAAAGAACAATGGTTGAAAGGTGCTTGAAAAGTTATTTTAAGAAAAAAACCACTATTGAGTGTTGAATTTCAACTTTCATGGAGAATAGAATGTATATTTGACTAGGGTTTTTCTGGTAACTGACACATCGTAATCCTATAGACCAAACTGGACACTAATTATCATAATGGTAATTCTTTCTGTATCATCTCTATCTTTATCAACTTCCTGTATCAATCCAAATACATCTTCGTCTCTATACTGGCTACACTACCGATGCTCATTAAAACGACCATTCCACTCATGTGTTGACAGGCACCACTCCACCCTTACTTGTTTATTCTATATACATTCATTTTTTTATAAGAAACAAAGGTCGATGTTGAGTATTCCAGTTTCTTAATGTTTTGAAAATTTCAATACCCATTGTTTCTTAAGAGTTTCTTAATTATGATGTTATGAAATTTTCGTGACCTTTTTTTATCACGTCAAGAGATTCGCTTCCATTCTGATGCTGTATTTAGATGTGGGAAGTATATTTTTTCTCTTGTGTCTTAAGTACTAGGCCAACAGGGCAATCATATTGTTGATTTTCAAAGTTTTGTTGTTCTCAGTTTTATCACGATTTAAAAGTTTCTTAATTTTTTGCTTCGAGTACTGGAGTTTCTCAATTTTTTTCTGATTGTCCAGTACTCGTTTCTTGTAGCCAGTTTCTTATAAAAAAAGTGAGTGTACTCGTGTATAAATTAATTACAGATTTCGTTATTCCTGACCAGTAAGATATTCGGAATCAAAATCAAATTGTTAGTTCGAATGTAACATTCTTTGTACCATCAATAAAAGACAAGTTCAAATGAAACATAGCAGCAAAGCAGAAAGGATGGTCATTCCAGGGGGCGAGTCACTTTATTTAAATTTCGTGCACCTTTTTTGGAAACCATTTGGTTTTTTTTTCAAGGAAATTTAGTACGCTATTTACATCCCTTGGCTCAATCAGCAAGGTTAAGGCGCGTGGGACAAGGTACAGGCATCGTGCACCATTCTAAAAGTGGGTTGGGCTGAAAAGAGCATGACCGAGAAAAATGCCCCTTTTAGAAAATGCTTGCTCCTCTTAACTTATTTTTATAAACAGTCCGATTCAGAGAAGATACCCATTACTATAAAAATAGATTTAACAAGGTAAGCCATCAAGAGAATGAACAAAAAGGGTTCTCAGCAACGATGAACTACTACTACTAAGGATCCGTTAGAGTAAACTTCCCAAAGTTGCGTTCGAGAAAACTTTCTAAAAATTTTCATAACCTTTTATTGCAAAAAAGTGGGGGGGGGGCTATAGCCCCTGCTAGCCCAATGGCTGCGCGATACCTGACAAGGTATTGTAAGTTTTATTGTGTCACTATCATTTTAAATACTATTGAAGCATTGTCCAACTGGAATTGAGAGAACTCTGATACATACTATTAATGAACCTTGCTTTAAGTTTGGAATTCACTATTCTAATTAACTGTAGCTTTAAAAATGAGTGTCTGTTTACATTCTCACTACATATTTATTCATAAATCCATTTGGTATTCAGGGGCAATGAAAGGAAATAGCTCACTTGAAATCCAGTCTTGAAATTTTACTAAGGTGGGACTTTACAAATGAAATCTTTCCAAGAAAACAATAAATTACATGCAATTGGGCTTTGAACATTCGTTTCAATAGAGAGAACAAATGATCTGGAAGGTTTTAAGCATGTAGGATATCGACCTATTTTCAATACCCTTGCGAACTAAAGGGAGAGAGCAGTCGGTTCGTGTGAAGACGATAAACGTTTATGATCGTCAAATCAAAAGCCACTGGTCCCTGTTTTACACGAAACCTTTTCAGAATTAAACAAACAGAACTATTTTGAAAAAATAGTTAGATGTTGAAAAATAAATCATTTCAATATAAACTTTTCAAGTTTCACCTTTATACTAATTATGTGTGGTTTCTGATTACAAAAAAATGAGAAAACGCTTTGGATATCAATAGAAAAATCTGGCTAATAATACCGAATATTGATGTGAATAATATTGATCAAATGCTCTTCATACAAAGTTTAGCCAATAACCTATCAAAGATAGTTTTGCCTGATAATGAAAAAGACAAATTTAAAAATTTTTGAAAATTAAAAGCTTGTCACAGTGTGGGTTTCCAGTAGGCGTTGCCAGATCGACGTATCGAGGCAACGGATGTTGTTCATGATTGCAAAAGTGCAAGAGATTCATGGGATATCATGTAAGAACTTCATACACGTGCTTTGGTCAAAGGAAATCAGTGTGGCTACATACATGCTGATTGATATAAATTCATCAAAAAATCACTCTTCTAAATGATAGAAAAGCTTTTCGGTGCTTGTTATGGTGAAAATACAAATGTAATAATATTGCTAAATTAGGTTCAATAATATATTGCTTTGGAAAACTTTAGAGGCAGTGTCGCGCTGTTCATTAGCAATTATTAGTTGAATTTTGAGGGTCCTCGATAACAGAAAAGCGTTAGGGCAAGATACACTGTTTACAATTAGGAGGCACACACACCGACAAGGGTTATCATCAAAAAATATACAGCACTGTTTGCTATAAATTATCACCTTATGCTATAAAAATTTTGAATTATAAAAAAAAGTAACAGAATCATACGGCTTTCATCGTTGATATAAAATAGTAAAAGCGCTCTATCATGAGTCCAATGAGGATAATTTTAATCATCATCCGACCATGAGTCTGAACCATCTTCCCAATCATCCTCGTCTTCACTGTCACTCAGTTCCACGGCGATTCTTCTGGCCAAGATTGATGCAACGTCCATCACTTGCTTATCCTCTTTCTTCTCATTCAGTTTTCTTTCCTGTACCTTTTTCAATTCCATACCTTAAGAAAACAGGTATAAACATAATTTGATTTTTGGATTTTAAAGTACAGTTCTCAGATTGGGACAGGAAAAAATGAATGTAAATAGCTTCAACCTGTGGTTTACACCAGGGGTGACGTGCTAAAAAGTTATGATCAGGGCTGAGCAACAGGTAACTTCTAGAAGCTACACCCGTGACAACACCAAATATACTTGCATTTGTGTTTCAAAGAGTCTTTGTTGTGTTTATGAAATCATTCAAACTATTCATCGACTCAGAAAGACTGATAGAAAATTGCTCTGATTCACAGAAAAAAAGGGGCGCCGAAACAGAATGCGTTCATCTAAACATGTGCTCGCCTATTAAGGGGGTACCAGGATTTAGAATGTGGCTGGATTGGTAAGGCAGGAGCAGATAGGTATAAATTATCATTTTGAGGTTTAAAGAGGGGAGATATAATCCTTAACTTCCTTCTCTGAGTTAAATGAAGCAAATATATTTTGACCTACACTATTTCTTATAAGAATATTGTTCATAAAGATATTCAGGCATGGAGTCAGATCATAAGTCACGTTTTTAAGAATATTATAAAAAATTTGCTCAGCCCCAGCTCGCATATTTGCCTAATTTTCCAGCAGTTGTCTGTTTCTCGATGTTTTTAACAAAGAATTGCACGACTATGTTAATATCTTGTTTCGGATTTTTAGTCAAAGGCAAGTGATATTCTTTTGAAATCATATCATATTTGAGAAAATAAGAATACTTTAAAAATACATTCTCATTCAAAACGAACATTTTTTAAAAATACCGATACATGACACAACTTGGAGCATTACTATAAAAAAGAGTGTATGCCACAATCTACAATCCACGATAGATGGTGTTGAGTTTTACAACCCTCTCCCCCCCCCCCTCCCACTTCAATATTGACATCTCTTCTTAAAAAATACATATGCTCTAACTTTAAATGGAAGGAGAGGAGCCACCAAGAAGGGGCAGGGGAAAATTGCCCCAGAATAATCAGACACAACAAAAATAAGCCTTAAAACAGAACAACGTTTGAAATGATTGCAAGAAAATGACTGATCTATGTGCTTTAAGCTACTCTAAACGGAAAGGCTCCATGGTGCCTTGTCTTTCACTTTTGCACCAGGATCTCCTTAACCTCTTTGGAGCCCCTGGTAGAGGTTGCACTATACATTCATGCTACCAGGAAAGTGCCTAGGGATTTGTCTCAACAGCTCTGTCTAAGATTATAGTTTATGTACAAGGCATAAAAATGCATTGGTGTATAAATCAGATCAGAATACCTTTTTTAATAGCATCCAAAAGAGCATTTCTGGAATCTTCAACTGGTTCAGGTGGCGGAGTTGGCTTGAGCTTTGGTTCTTTAGGAATAACAAGGCCCATTGACTGCTGTGGCGGTGGAGGTGGCATTCCACCACCAGGAGGAGGAGGGGGTGGAGCTGGTACTCCGGATGGGAGAGGAGGCGGAGGTGGTGCACCTGGTATTGGTGGAGGGGGTGGTGGTGGTGGAGCATTACTAGCAGCAGGCAGCGGAGGTGGTGGTGGGGGTCCTGAAAGTTGTTGAGGTGGGGGTGGTGGAAATCCTGGATCATTTGACATCATTTGAGGGGGAGGTGGTGGCGGTGGAATATTGGGCTGTGGTTGTGGAGATGCACCTGGAGCTCCAAGGTAAAGAGGGGGTGGAGGAGGAGCAGGAGACCTACTTGGTGATGCTACTCCTGGGGGTGGAGGAGGAGGTGGGGCTGATGTGGGCCTTTCTATAAATGATCCACTTGATGTTCTCAAAGGTTGATGGGCCAATTCAGAAGGGGGAGGAGGGTAATGGTCGTAATCATACTGTTGTGAAGCTGCAGTGGACGGTGGTCTAGATCTCTCCGAAGATGTTAGTGTCTCAGTTGTCACCTTCTTTGTTGCACTGATTTCCCAATCTGGAACATTCTTGTTCTGTTTCTTCTGAATATCTTTGACTCTTTTACCACCATCATCACGCTGCTTCTTGACTCTCCCTTTTTTCTAATAAGATCAAAATATAAAGAGCCATAAAACTTTCAGAAATAATTCTGCTAATGCAAGGCCAAATTAGGATAAATGCCTAGTATCAAACCTACATTAATGGTTTATAGATAAATTAAAAGCTGAGACTTTCTTTGAATATCATGTTTTACACAACCTCAACTGACTCAATATTTAGAGGATAAACTTTACTACTGATGTTAACACTAGAATTTATGCCAGATCATCAAATAATAGATTTCAGATATTTGCAAATAACAGTAAATCCAGCCTGGGATTAAGTTGACAGCAAACCCAGAAAAGCATTCCTATTAGCAGAAGCCAACTTTCAAAACCAAAAGAAAGGGGGGCATTTTATGGAAGATGCCTTTACACACCAATTCAACTTAAAGCCACATTTTGAAAAATTCTTCGAATTCTTTTGCAAACACAAATTTGTTTACCTCAGATTCGGATCGAGAGCAAGAAGCTTAGTTTACTTGGAAGTTTTTATTTTGTTATTGCTAACGATATTGATTTTATGACGACATAAAGATAAAATATTCTTAAGGGATTTGACTGTGATTGGCAACTAGGGGGGTAAAGTTTCACCCAGAACGATTTTTGTCGTCAAATTCACTTCAAGTTTTCAAACTTAATTTCTTCATAAAATCTTAAATACAAGCACATACGATATGAAAAATTATATCTTGCTTAAAAATAGGGCCATAAAACCAAATCTGAGCATTAAAAAGTTGCATAGTGAAGTTTAGAGAAATTTCCATGACAAGACCATATGTTGACTGGGTGTGTTGAGGAATGCTAGATAAAAAAATTGGCATAACAAATTCCTAGGATGACTAGAGTTGAAGACTAGTAAGCCTCTTCAAGGCATTTATATTTCAAAAAGCATACTCTTCTCTTTTTTCTTGTTTCTAATTCCTTGTCCATTTTCTCTTTCCAGAGCTCAAAGAAGTGTGTAGGATCAGTGTAAAACTTCAAAGACATCTTCCCATCCTCTCTAAACTTGTTCAGGCCGTTGAGATCAGGAACAGGTTCACTGCAATTGTAAACCTCTAGCATTGCATCGGGCATTGTAGATCTTGCTGTGACTTGGCTGTCATTGTGTATTGTCATCTTAAAGGCCTTTTGCAAGTTGATATCTTGCAATGAGACTGGCAAAAGACAAATCAGATAAAAACATTACTACCTGGGAATTCCAACAGCAAAAACACATTTAATTTTTAAGTTTTCAACATTAAAAGGACAACCCCATTTTTTATTTGCATATTAACCTTCTATTTATGTTCTTTGTTTATGGCCAAATGACTTGCAACTTTTGCATTAAAAACATGTTGCTAGTTGGTGGAAGAAGGCCATTGTTTCTTCTTCTCAACCACCCTCAAAACAGTTGGGGTTTCCTTTTATGGCTGTCTTTGCAATCAGCACACTGGAAACCCAAAATTAGATGGCCAAAAATGATGAGAAAACACCACTGTCACAATTGGTGTAAAATGGTGAATTATTCTGAGCACCATATTACCCTTCTTTGCTAACTTTTTTTGTAGGGTAACCTGGAACAAACATCAAAACAAATATTTTGCAAATAAATGTTTGGATAATGTAAATTAGTGGCTACTGATGGAGTAGAAACTTCCTATTAATTATTGGATTTTTTTATGTAAATTTTCTTTGGATATTTTTTGGCATATATAGATGTTTATTAGAAATATTTTGGAATAGAAATCGTGCTGTGTCAAGCTAGGCAGATCAATGTAGTAAAAAATCCATCAGTATGGGTTATCTAAATAGATTGTAAAAAATGCGTTTAGAGTTAAAAAAGAGTTAAAACTGCCCTGATTAATCCCATCTGCTTACAAGAAAATAAGAATGGGAACTTTCTTATTTATTTTCTAGTATCATTTGATATGGTTCTTTATTTCTAGCAAGCGGACCGGTTTTTAAAATCACTGCCAAAACAAGAAACAAGGAAGTAATTTTTATCTTGAATTGGCAACCGTAACATATTATACAAAATTTAATGTCCAACTTACTCTCCTCTTCAGCAGAATCTAGTTTAGTAACCTTAATTGCCAATTGATCTATCCTTTTTTGAGCATTACAGGTTCTTTCGAAAATCCCAGTTGCTTCCTTAAAAAGTTCACCGAAGATGTTCTCGGCATGATAGGCCAAAGAGCTGAGTTGGTAGATTACACCACTCAAAGTGTTAACAGCCACAGCTTCAAGACCATTTTTTGCATCACGAGGAATTTCTCCGCGACTGACAAAGATTGGTTCGACAGAACGTTTTACTACAGGCATCTTTCAACCACCGGAATCTGACATACGTCGTAGAAAGCTTTTCAACGATATCGGCACTCCCAAACCACCGAAGCAGATTCACTCTTCATAAAGTCTCGCTTCCGTGCGGCTTTCGCTTCTAACCCAGTTCATGGTAGCCTGATAACCAGCCCATTATTCTAAAGG